TAGATTTCGTAGCTAATAATGGTTTCTGATCACCATTTAAAACAATGTGCAGGAAAGCCAATGCGTTTTAAATGATTAATTATTTGATCGTAAATGAATAATTAGTCATTTCTGGCAGATGGCACATTTCACGCGGTCCGGCACCTAATAATTTACAAATTAAGCACTGCATACAAAGGATAATGCACACTGCATAATACTGCAAAATACTATAGTGAACATTGTAACATTATCTTTCACATGCTTTGCAGTAATGTCTAATAGGATGAAAGCCAACTCTGGGTCAGTTTTGAAAACAAAGTGAAAGTCTCTACATGACTCAAATGCCTTTCCAATGTTGACCCATGTTTTTGCCCGACATCGATCTGATTCTTGTATTCCTTGACAGGCTTTTGTTGTTTTTTATCCTTATGTGGAGTGTGTGTTGGAGTCTGTGTTATGCTGAGAGCCAGTTGTTTTTGGTGTTAGCAGACTCCAGTTGCGGTGTTGTCGCTGTGTTTAAAGTTCTGAATCAATTCAATGCAATTAAATTTTCTTTATATAGGGCTAATTCATAACAACAATTATCTCACTGGACTTTTCATATAGAGTAGGTCTTGACCGTACTCTTCGCAATCAGTAGGCAAGAGTCTTGGGAACGGGCATGATTGTCATAGGTAACTGAGAAAGCCGGTGAATGGTTAATTTTTAAGTGAGGTTACAACCCCTTCACAAATAAGAAATAAGAAAGTGATCCATTTGTTAAAATAAAAAAACTACATATAGCCCCTTTAAATGGCAACTAACAATCATTTTCATTGTTATTTAAACTTCAGATAATTTTTCCTTTCTTCCATAAAATACTGTAAAACAGCAGAAAAATTACTTCAAAGTGACATTCAAATTTCTTGTTTTGTCTGCCCAACAGTGTAACACTTGAAAGATATTCAGTTTACTATCATAGAAGACTAAGAAGGCAAATTTGAGACGCTGCAATCAGAGAATGTAGGCCATTTTTGACTTTAAAAACTGACTGTTATGTAATTCCAAATTATCAAAATATCTGTCAATTCATTTTCCGTCAATTGACAAGACTAATTGTTTCAACTCTAAAATACATAACTGCGTGTACATGTGTGGTGGTGTACTATCATCCAAGTGTCCTCACAAGCAAAGCATGAGTTGTGAAATCCTATAAACTGAAAACATCCGGATATCCCAAGAAGTTCTTTGAGCAGGTTTGTTCAGTTCAAAATTGTGACAATCTAAAACAAAATGTGACAAATAGCTCTTCAGAAAGCTAGTAAGTGAACGTTGTGTTAAGATAATGAACTTCCACATTGTAGCCAGAAGTGTTTTCTTCATCATTTATTCACTGTTGTGCTTTGGAGACAAAAACAGCTTAATCTCTATGTCAGTGTACAACTACAGTATAAGTACAAGATGCAAAGAACCTTATATGTTCATAAAGTTCATACCAGATGTTTAGTAAACATGATATGAGAAACATGCATTAAAATGCCCATAGAAATTATAAACAAACACAAATTAAGGGCTTACATTGTTTTGTGTAAAAGCATTTTGTGCGATCAAGTCTTTTGGGAAAAGTTCAGGCCTGAGGGGAGGACAGAGCAGTCATTAGAGGCTCAACACAAGCTCACTGGGAGTTCAACTTCAGGCTCTTCATCACACCACAGTAAATTCACAATTTGGCATGAAATCCAACTTATTTTGATCTACAGGAAGTGTTTTTTATTTTTTGGTAATTTGAATCGAACCAAATGAGTAGCTGTCAAATTACATCCACTTACCATCCAATCAGTTATTCAAATCACTCCTACAGTTTATTTTATATATATATATTTATTTTATTTGATCTCATTTTCAGAGTTGTTTTAGTGTTATTTGTTTATTTTCTTCCAAAAACAGCTTAATTAGTATTTGCTTCAAAAATTCTGTATTTCAAAAGGTGCATCCCTGGCTTCATAATAAACATAAAAAACTGATCAGATCTGGTCAAGTTACTAAAGCTTTTTGGAAGTGCAAATAAGCTTAAAAATCTTCTGTTCAAATCTGTGTTCATATCAAGTGAGACAAAAAGATAACAAAAAGCATTGGTTAAATGTGAACTGTTTAAACTTCTATCAACAGAGCTAATCAATATAAGTAAATCACTGCACTATAGTCAAATTAAGTGATGAATTTTCCATTTACATTTCTTCAAGAAGAGTTTAATTACTTTTATGGCCTGACATGAGAAAAAAAAACTTTTTTAACTAAGTTTAACCTACAATCTCCAGCCCCCATCTTCTTCCTTTTAGATCTTGGTTGGTTTGATTCTTCAATCATATTCAATCGAAGACCTCTGCCAGACTGAAACCAGTGCAGGTGTTGGTGTTTGAGTGTGAATGTGAGAAGAAAGAAAAAAAAAAGACAAGGAGAAAGTATCTTATGCACGCCAAGAGCCAGGGGCAGGAATTAAATCCTCATCATGATCTGGCACCATCACCACTCTCTGCCCGTGTGAAGGTGTGTGTATGTGTGTCTACATGGCACTAATAATACAACTGCACAGTAGCTTTTTGGCTTATCATTGGAACATCACAGACCCTGGTCAAATAGCTTTTCCCTGCATGTGTAGGTCTTAGACAGGCAATAAAGTGTAAGCAAGAAAGATTGCATGCAAAAACCTGTTTTTATTATGTCAATTGCCTGTGTCCAAGCACTATAGATGCACAATTACATACAATCACTTATAGTACAGCCATTTTTAATGGAATTAACTTAACAGCAGAATGAGTAGCTTGTGTAATAAAAGCAGGATGCACATTAATACCATCCATGCATGGTGGTAAACGTTTCCCTTGCAATGTCATTTGGTTATTATTAACAAATCCTTAAATTTGAGGAGAACCTGGTGAGCAGTTTATCCCCTTTTCCACTCTTTATGCTAAGATAAGCTGGTGGTGGCTTCTTCTTTAGTGTACAGACATGACAGTGGTATCTGTTCTCATTCAAATATCGGCAAGAAAGCAATTAAGTGTATTTCACACAATTCCAAAGTATTCCTTAGACTTCTTGTCTGAAAATATGACTGACCAGATACAGTATTTTATATGCAAAACCCTCAGAGTTGTGACAATTACAAAGCATAATGATAATTTTCACTGTCCCACATGTTCATTTTAAACACACATTCATTCAATCCAATTATATATTTACCAATTAAATAAATAGCCAATCAGATTATTGCTCTTAAAATAATTTGACTGTTAACAGTTTACACTGAGGGGCGGCTGTTCAATCCATGACTCCCCCTGGTTGCGTGTCGAAGTGTCCTTGGGCAAGATACTGAACCCCGAATTGCCCCTGGTGGCTGTTCCACCAGTTTATGAGTGTGTGTGAATGTTAGTTTCCGTTACGTGTTAGTGTATGAATGTGTATGACTATGAATGTGTATGACTGGTGAATAGTCAGTGTAGTGTAAAAGCGCTTTGAGTGGTCAAAAAGATTAGAAAGGCGCTATACAAATACGGAGCATTTACATTTACTGAGGCACATTGAGCACCAAAACAAAATATAAATACAACACAGAAGGGCTTAAAAGACAAAAACTGATCTATGACTAAACATTTTTCACATCTCACCCTCTCTCTCACACACACACACAAAAACAAACACATTTAATGTATCTAATCACAACGGACGGATATGTGCAGACAGGATGTTTTACATGACGTTAACTACACCAGGCTTTTCAAACCACCAGCACGTTACTGATTGACTTGACGTCTGAATCCTAGCTAGCTTGCAGGTCAGCCAACTTCCTGAGTTATAGGGTACTGATCGATTTATTGACTGTCTAATAAAATGACAGACTTATTATCATCAATTAAAACCACAGCAAGTGGGCTTTTCTGACGAATGCCTTAAACTAACTACTTAATGCAGTGATAGACTGATTGATCGGTCAACTCTGCAAACTTTCTCAGATTGCCCTGAGGCTTGATATGTCAACTCTACATACATTTACTACTATAAACATCATAACATCAATGCACATACCAGTTGAATTCATATGCTAGGAAGCAACTAAAATCAACAGGGTAAACTTCACATTCAGCTTTGCAATGATGTGACACATTTACTATAAATTTGATAACGGAGGAAGAGGAGAGATGAGAGTGTTGTGACTCTACTGAAGTTGTGTGAACAGATGCAGCAGCTTGGCTACAGGCTAGTGAAAGCCCCACATCCGGTGTTCTGTATATGTGCTAAATACACATGGTGGAAACAGCCTGTATTATTAATATTCACGTTTCAGGTTCTGACACTGTGATTATGTTTACGGTCATACGAACACTTTGGTCCAATATTATACAGTATGTGTGGCGCCTTTGGAGAATGCCGATACCGGCTGTTTACTTCTTTCACTTATAAGAAAATAAAAAGACAACTTTTTCTCCCATGACATATGGTAAAATAATCTGTCCAAATTTTCCCCAACTGTAGCTCTAAAATCCTATTTTTAAGTGAATCTTTGGTATAAAATGCTAAAGAGAAATGTGATGTGGAAGAAGAACTGAGTGAGTACATGTACTTCTGTAGCTCTGTAGACGGCTGTTCAGGGTGGTGTTGGCGCAAACCTACTAAATATTTTAAGGATGTAAAAGTACTGGTGTCTTCCCCATATTCACTCAGCAGTGGTGGGCCACAACAGCCAGAAAACCGCTCCAGAAAATATAAAAATAACATATTAAATAAAGATGTATTTCAATATCACCTGCAAAATGTATCTGCAAAAGGCCCACCGCTTGCATTGAGTGCTGCATGTTAACCGTGTGTAATGTTTTTCTGGGGGCAGCAACAGCTAGAGTTTGTGTGCCAAACTCTATTGTAAATGTTACTCCCTGACACCTAGAGTAAAGCAATTAATACCAGTGGCTCACAGGCAAAATCTCTCCCTCCATCTTTCCCATTTGTCTCCTGCTCTCCTACTTTGCTCATAACTGGAAGCTTTCAGCGGAAAACACCGGTCTTTAATAATTTGTATTCATGTGTCATTGTGCTGGCTTCAGGCATTTTGGCTCTCAGATATGGCTGCTGATCCAACAAGCGCATTAAAACGCCATCAACAGAATTGCAACAAAACAAGCATGACATGCTAAAAACAAGTTATCAGCAAAATAAATCAGCTAACAGGAAACACACCGAGACACATGTAAAATGTTCCACCAATGGCGTGTGAGCAACAGCCTGAGAAAGCAAAGGTGTGTTAGTGTCTCATATGCACTGGCGGATTGTGAGACAATGGGCTCCTGGGCACAAACATGTAAATGCACCCCATCCCTCCTACATAGGAGCAAGAGGCCCAGACAGAAATAGACACAAAGCAACATTTTGTATCTTTTTGTTGTAGTTCTGGGTGTCTGTGGTTGTTCTGCGTGTCTCTGGTTGCTTTACATCTCTTTGTAGTCAATTTGCAACCCTTTTTGGTAATTGTGCATCTTTTTGTAATCATTTTGATTCTCTTTGTGGTCGTTTTGTGTCTATTGTGGTTGTTCTGTGTCTATTTGTGGTTGTTCTGTGTCTATTTGTGGTTGTTCTGTGTCTTTAGTAGATGTTTTGAGTTTCTTTGTGTGGTTGTTTTGCTTTTCTTTTTGGTTGTTTTGAGTCTCTTTTTGGTCGTTTTGCATGTCTCTGGTAATTTTGCGTGTCTCTGGTCTTTTGTGTCTCTTTGTGGTTGATCTGCATTTCTTTGTAGCTGCTTTGCCTCTCTTTTGAGTAGTTTTGCATTTCTTTGTGGTCGTTTGGGGCACTGTCTCTTTTTGTGGTCATTTGATTGACTTTTCAAAAAGAAATGTTTACTGTCACTTCACACAGAGGCTCTGGCCCAGGGGCCCAAGCGTAGTTTCAATCAAAAAACATTAGGCCTGTTCAGTTATCCATCACTGTTCACATGTGGTATATCTGACATGTTGCTCAGAAACATACAACACACATACATCTGCACGCACACATATGCACAGACATCCTGAGGCTGGATAGTGGTTAACATATGTTCATCATGGTTGATTAACAACAACCTGTTTGGCACCGGGTAACTGACCTCCTCCTGCTTCAACAAGTGGCTTCAAGTCTTCAGCATCTTTTTTTGTGCATGTATGTTTGTTTATTGTTATTCCAACTGAAGAGCAGATGTGTGTCTGCTGTCACCATGTGTCAGTGTGTGTGTCTCTCAGTCTAAATCCCCACCGCCACATCAGAACAGTTGTAGTAACATCTCAGGTCCCCAGTCCATAGCCGTCTGAGCCACAGCGAACACGGCCGCCCCTAGCGTAGCAGATAGCCCCCACACTGCCATCTTCACCATCCTGCTCGCCTTCCCCCACGGCTGGCCTTGGTCCCGCGGCAAAGCTGCTGCCAGGCCTGAATGTAGAGAGGATATGAGCACAGAACAAGGAGGAGGGGTCAGACCATGAGGAGCGGAGACAAGGAGGGGTCAAGAGGATTCAAAACGCTTAAAAGCTGAACCAAAGGAGGATCAAGCTGCATTTTATTACTGGACTTGAAAACAAAAAGGGGTCAAGGGATGTCAAAACACTAGGAGTAGAGTCAAGGAGGGGGCAAAAACAATAATACACAAACATAAATAAAGTATAAACTACTCTTCACAAGGTCAAGAATGAACTTCCCCACACACTTAAAACTGTTTATGGGGAGGAAGTACCAGAGCACGAACACACAAAATATTGAACGGATATGGTTTGATATAATAAAAAGATCATCAATTTTAAGTACACTCGTCAGCCATTATTCATCACTTATTTAACATTTAGACACCAAGTCATCTCTCAGGCTTACTGACTCCCATTTATTGTCTGCTACAGTGAAATCAGGAGGTGCTATTTCTGTGTCTGCTAATTGAATTTTGATGAAACTACAGCGAATGATGTGCATCATTTTTAATATTACACTGCTAGGCCTGAGGGGAATGTTACAGCATATTTTTGATTGCCTGTACATCACAGATAATATGTCAGACGCCACTGATCAGATTTTCACAAACCCTATGGGAATGAAGCCTCTCTTTGTTCTGTTCTGGCATATTTAAATGTGTACTTGATTGGCCTGATGGGGCTAGTACATCATTTGTTTACTTGTTATTGATTGGCCCATAAGGGGGTCAGTGTTTGTGGGGGATGACATACTCACTGTTGCTTTGTTTTGAAGAATTGTGTTCTGTGGATTTTGATGGTCAGGTTGAAATGTTTGTTCTTACAATCTCACAGCCGATTTTAATTTTAGCCCAACTTCAAAGAGTATTCAACAAGAACTCCCTTTTGCTTCACTCATCTGCGGGTATGTCTGTACTGTCTGTGCGTGTGGAGTACTTCTTCAGAGTCAGTAATAAGATTATGGTTACTATTTTTACCATGTCTGGAGGTGGTGGAGCCCTGGGCCTTGGTGAGGCGTTGGAGAACAGAGTCGGGCCTCTGGTGAAGGGTGGAGAGCTGAAAGGCCTGGAAGGTGCTGATGGACAGACTGGACAAAGAAAAAAAGAGGAAGAGAAGGATGGAAAGAAAAGAGTTAATTGATAATGGAGAACAGAGTCAGATCTAAGGTGACACATGGGCAGCTGGAATGGTATGAAGAGATGGAATGAAGGATAAATACAGGTGAGGGAAAGATGGAGAGACAGCTAACTCAGTTGCTCCTGTGTATAGGAAGCTATGGAAGTAATGCATTATGGGACAAAAGTATCTTTCAGTATCAGTCAGTCAAGGCCTCTTGTCAGTGATGTCACTTCCCCTCCTGAACAATGACTGTAAGTAACGCTGAAGGACACAGACAAAGAGAAGGAGACAGATGGAGAGGCTTTGGATACAGCGAGATAAGGTGTAGCTGTGTATTCAATGTTTCGTCCTCAGAAAATATAAAATAATAATAATGTAAAATAATATAAAATTTGGGAAAATGGTCACATGCTTGATTACGCATGCGCGCGCACACACACGCACACACTAAATGTCTTGTGTATATCAGCAGCACTACTGAGCCTGCATGCGTTTTTAGAGCATCCCCTGTTGGTTACTGAGGGAATTACATCACACCACCTACAGTAATTATACACCAACTCAAAATATGTTTATGTGGTAAACTTTTCTATTAGAGTCATGTGTTCTAATAAAATTATTTAGCGAGTGAAAGTGCAGGAGCAGTTAGCCAAATTAATGATTAGCTGATTGACAGAACACCAATCAACAACCATTTTGACATTGATTATATATTTAAGTCATTTATTAAGAACAAAATCAGTTTCCAGCTTCTTAAATGTGAAAATTTGCTGATTTTGTCTGATCGTGTCATTTGAAGATAAGATATGGAAAATTGTGATGGGCAGTAGTTACTGTGTGGGACTCCCGTCAGGAAGACTGGAAGATCAATTCCAATTAACTGCGTATATTTTTCCCCCTTATTACTTGATTATAAGGACACTTTTGCACATGCTCACAATAAGGCACGTGCTGCAGTGTGTGTGCCCAGTATTTGATCCACATTCATAAACCTATGGACGCTTATTTTCATTTCCCCTAAAAGCGTGATTTGAGATATTTTGGGGGGTTTCTAAAATATTGACAGCATGCTTTATTGACATTAATCTTATCACGGATCATGTGGAGCGTCAGACTTCATCCCGCCAGAGGAAACAATCACTGACCGACCGCAGTCCGCCCCACTCCCTCTCCAGTGCCGACAGGCTGTGAACGGTTCGTGGTCGTTGGCTACATGAAGATTACGCATGATCCATGCACTACTGCAACTGGGGTCTCTCCGCAGTGCCACGCAACTTTCTACATTCTTCCCAGAGGTGTGTCAAGCAAGCCAGAGACTCTTTTGAATGTCCTTCAGAACTCTTCAAAGTAAAAGCTTTCAATAAACTCAGCATAAAGCATTGCTGCAATAAACATTCTCACGCTTTTATTTTGCAGCCACAGTCATTTAACAGAAAGTGACTGTGTGAGTAACTGTATCTCTCATGACTGATATCTATTTCAGCACCAGCCGCTATCAATTTATTTATTTTCTATTTTTCTGCTTTCAAAGCAATCTAGCCGCCTATTGCCGACCACTGCTGTAGATTAATTGGTTGATTGATTTATCAAAAAAATACTGATTAAATGTGTTCACAGTTATAGTTTTGACTGAAGTATGACCCAGTAAGAAACCTTGTTCACTTAATGTGGATGCATATCACATTTACATTGATATTGATATTTAAATTGAGCTCTTGTATTGATTTAACCTCACTAAGTTTACTTTTTTTTTAGCCCTGTGTCTTCTCATGTGTCTAATGAGCACACAGCTATGCGTTTGTTTAATAGTATTAACATTATTATTATTAACCATTTTTACTTTATATTCTGTGGTTGTCTCTTTACCTTTTCCGAGACTGCAATGCTGCCCGCTTGGCCAGTAAAGATGGAGGGTACTGATCGAACAGGTCCTGAGCCTGGCCAATCAGATGTTCGTATGGAAGATCCTGGGGTATGCGGGAGAGGAGGTGGTGAACCATGGCCATGTCACACTCTGTCTGCTTCACCTCCTTCTCTCTGTACAACACAATCTGAAGAGGAGAGGGGGGGTAACTGTTTTAACCCTGAAGCTGTGCCCTGTTTAACCTGGGAACAAACATGAATTAGATTCTACATACTGTCTACATACAGTACACTAGTGATACTAGCGAGGCAGAATGAGTGCTTAGTGGTGACATGGGCAGATGAAGAGTTAACCCCCCATGCTGTGAGCGGTACTCAGCCTTGGAGGAAACATGAACTACATTCTGCTTTGTTGTTTCACACACTTCAAACAGAACTCTCCCAGTGCCCAGCCCCTACACACACACATAAAAAAAAACATCCTGCATATGAGCTAAATGTGCACAACTGCACACACTTATCAATATACACAAAGCCCTTCAGTTAAAAAAAGGCCTCTTCACACCCAAAAAAGGATGCATGTACACACACGCAAAATAAATGATTTCCACAAACACAAGTGCACACCTATAAGTTCCAGCAGTAAACATTTCTGCTAAATCAGTTGGTGTCAGCACCCAGAGGAACAAGTTTCAGAGAGGAACAAGTGAAAAAAGTATCAGAAAGCTTTTCCTTTGTAATCTGTTTCTCTCCTTCCTCCACAGACAAACATCAGTCAGCTCTCCTCGTCATTCTGTTTCCTGAAGCAGCCCTCATCCTTTAGCCTTTAATCTTCTCCCTCCGTACCTCCTTTTCTCTGTTCCCCTCTTTCACTCTCTCTCTCTCTCTTTCTCATCTGTTCATTAGGAGGTATCTAATTAACTAGTCCAGTGACTTCACAGTACTCCACCTCACTGTTAGCATGAGTAAACGTGTGTGTGTGTGTGTGTGTGTGTGTGTGTGTGTGTGTGTGTTAGTCGCAGCATGTATTCATGTGTGAGCGTCTTCCGTTACAGACAAAGTCACTGCCTCTTGTTAATTTCCTGTTAGCTTCTATGCCTTTTTACCGTAGCGGCAAGGTAGATGGGCATCAGTGGGTGTGAGGCCAGGAAGAAGTCGTAGAGTCTCAGGATGTGTTTGAACTCTGACAGCACGTGGCCGTACCATGTAATGAGCCAGGACAGTGCAAATATGGTTCCCACCTCCGCTCTGAAAGAAAAGGCAAATACACAGTATAAAGAGATATAAACAAACAGAACCACACATGCCACTAACAAAGATTGTCGGACAGGCTTTATATGTTTTCTTTTATTTGAATTTAACCCTTGTTTAACCTTAAAAGACTATTTACAGACTAAAAACAAAAACAGATAACACAAGAGACTTAACAAGAGCAGAATGACGTAAATACCCTAATTAAAAATTTTAATTTATAGTAGGAATTATGTGAAAACATATGGGCCGATTCTTCTTTCAGCTAGTGGTTTCAGACCGGTATGAAAACCATCTTGCCATCACATTACAATCGATAACAAAGAGCATGTCTCTCAAGTTGCTTTTCACACAGTATCGAAATGATTGAATGGCTGCATGGAAGGCAGGAAATCACTTTGAAAACTAATGGTACGCCAAGTGGTACATTAGTGGTGTGCAGTACTGTAAAGTCTAAGCATTTTTTAGTCAGTGGGATAAAATGTTTTTTAAAAAATGCACTGATATGAGTCGGCTAACCTTAGACAGAAAAACACATCCATGAATTTAGAGTACTCACAAGAGACAGAATTTTAAAATTAATGATCAAAGCAGAGGGTCAGATACCCTGATTTGTAACCCCTAGCATGGTTCAAGCTCCACATATGCAGGATCCAGCAATTCCCAAAAATTGATAGTGTGTTTGGTTAGCCCCCTGAGAAACCCCTATGTAACTTTCAAACATGTCTTCAAGAAAGTTTGTAACACAGGATCTCCCTTAAAAATCTGTAGTATCCAAGCTGAACCTGAGATAATCCCTAATGCCATCACACAGACTTGACAAGCTCCTCCACACAAAAGACATTACGCAACTCGTTTCACAAGAACAACAGTAAATACTTTAATTTAGTCATAAACTGATCTTCAAGAGTTTGGCTTAAAGTTCATGAAACACTGTGTTGCAAGATTTTCTCCTGACCACATCAATTCCTAAAGAATTGGCCTTTGAATTTGAAAGAATATAAATGTTCTATACCTTCACATACTGTTTAAAACCCTCCCATGTTCTCTTCTGTCTTTCTTTTTTGTGCACTGACATAAATATGCAGTTATTTTTGACAGAGTCTTGAGTAAATTGGATACCCTTAGAGGCTGTTGCTAAATATTGGATAGGAATAATCAGGGAGGAAGATGGATGAATACAAGGGGAAGGGAGTGACAACTGAAAAGAAGTCGGTGGGAGTGTTGGGGGAGGGGTACAGAGAGGGAGCAAAGGGCAGGGAGCATGTGTGATGAGAGGGACATAAGAGAGATACAATGAAGTCGGAGAGAGAAAATAAAGGAACAAAAAAGAAGGAGCAGGCGGAAAGGCAAAGAAGAGGCAGAGATAAGAAGGCAGGCAAGGGGAAATGGAAGTGCTCACAAAAACTCTGAAGTGGGGTGTTGCCATTTCAAAATGAAAATGTGTTGGCTGCCAAGTACACGGACGTTGTTGCCGTTTTTCTGCAAGTGCAATGTCTATTTTGTGCTTTTTGTGTTTGTGCGAGCTTGTATGTGAATAGATAGGTAATTTATGGAGGTTGCTAGCACATCATCAATTATGAACAGGCAACAAGACAGCAAAGGTACTGTAGACGCAGTCATATACACACACACACACACACACACACACACACACACACACACACACACACACACACACACACACACACACACACACACCTCCCAGCCCTCATTACACACTTCACAATATTTACTATAGCTGGTTGTATCTTAAAATGCCTTTTTGTTGTGGTTTTAATAAAGTGCAAATACACCATTAATCATTATTTGGCTAATTACACCTCACAAACTAAGGTAAATGTGCTGAACACCTTGGTGGGACAGAAACGCCTCTGAAACAGCTGTTGGACCATCTGATATGAGAACTCCCCAATGAGACGACTACTGATATATTTTCAATTGACTTTCAATTCAAAAACAAAACACTTCCCATGGAGCTCAAAGGTGAACAGCAACACTTTGAGGCCCTCTAGTGGTTGGTACTTAAATTACATTATGTCCAAAGCGCCGTAGACGGCATCAAAAAATATTTTTGTTTTAAGAAATGATACATAAGTAAGTGCCGACATTCATTGGGAAGCAGCGTGTGTGTGTGTGTGTGTGTCTACCTGATCATGAAGTCATGTAGTTCTGTATCAACCTGTTCCAATATGGGCATCAGGTAGTTTAAAATGTGTTTAGTGCTGTCCATAGTAGGATCCATGAAATCTCTATAGACAGACAGAGAAGTCAGAGGAGACAGTTATAGTTATAGAGTTATAGTTAAGTTATATAAGTATCACTGCTAAATCATTTGTAATATGGTTGATTAATTGGATCCATTAAAAATACATAAAATAAAACATATATATTCAACCTGAGATGATAATTGGACAGTGTCTCCAGCATGGCGATGGCCATCCGCTCCCCAACTACCAGCAGCAAAGAGACGGCCACATCATGGTAGCCTTGGTAGTAATGGAGCTGAGGGTTGCGTTTCAAAACCTCCAGTATGATGCCAATGAGATGCTCCTGATGCACAGCTCTCTCTGTGGCTGGCATACCTGAGACAGAGCCACAGATTAGCGTATATAATAACATACAATCTTGTTCAATTTGGAGACAGCAGCAGGTTCTCTCAGAGACTTTGAAAAAGGCCTCGGCTTCCACTGGGACATGGTAAGGAACTTCATGAAAACGCACAATGTAACTTAGCCATTAAATTACTATCTAATTTATGTTCTGTATTTACTCCTGACTGCTTATAACCAGGCTTTAATACAAACCCAACACTGCTCAGTTGAGCTGTGAAAAGGTAAACATGACTTCCTTGCACAGCACGTGCATAAAATACAAGTTTAAGTGACAATTTGATAAACATGTACATACACAAAAGAAATAACTTCTGATAGTCATCAGATCATCATTTTACTTATTACTGCTAAATTGAAGGGCCTTGATTGGATTAATTCATTATCTTGTTATGTCATATTGAGATGTAAACTTTTTGATTTTGCTAGAAAACGCATTGGCAACATTGTTTAACCGAAACATTCACTCCAATAAATCACACTGAACATGAACATCATTCTAACTTTTCTTACACCTTTTAACAGCAAAAGGCATGTTAAAGTCTGCATTTGCAGGGCAGTTTAATATTTAATTCCTAACAGAGATCAAAAAAATCAAACATCTGATACTGAAAGTCCAGCTTTCCCCTCACTACCTGCTGTTGTTTTGAATTAGTTTTTCCACACATTGCTTCCTCCTGGCAGAGATTTATATAGTCAGCACTGAATTTACAGCATATCAGTTAGATAAGACACCTCTTTGTTGCTATCAAAACTTTTTGATTTTACCCAACAACACAGGCGTCTTGTGACATAAGAATCTTCCCTCTTGCAGTTCATTAATTATTAAGCCTTGCCAGATATCTGCAAGTTGCTTAGAGTACAGGGGTACAGTTTTATAAATAGTACTCATCTTTAGACACGCACAGACGTGCACACACACACACACACACACCTTTAGGGAACCGCTTCGTGGACCTCCTGACATCCAGGACTACTTGGTTGTAGTCCTTGTGGTTCTCCCTCACATCTCGACCTACAACCGAAGAAAATGTGTTATTGTTTTTAGTATTAAGTCATAGATTTATGGGTTTTACATCAAACTAGTAAATATAAGTATCAAATCAACCACTAACCAGGTTTATGTGGTAGATCGTACACATTGATATTCAGTAGCTTGGGCCAGACTTTCCTCCTTAGTTCGTCTGTGAGAAGGCCTCCCTTGCTGGCTGCTGCTCTCCTTAGGGTCTCAATGTCGACTGGATCACTGCACATTCAGAAGTGGACACTGTTCAATATGATGCACTACTTCAAAAGTCTGCCCACACAGCCCAAAACAATCTGTGTTAACCAGTCCTCAAAAACTATTTTATCAGAAAATCAGCAAATGGCTGTCAATAAGATCAACTACATGTTACAAATGAACTTATTTAAGGAATAAAGTGCAATTTTATGTATTCTAGTCAAGTCAAGTTTATTTATTTATAAACCACATTTAAAAACAACCAGAGTTGACCAAAGTGCTGGACAAGTTATACAGTTGAAGACACAAAAATTAAAACCAGATAAATTAAAACAGGCCAAATAATTAATGACAAACAGCAATAAGAATGAGTGCATACACAGTATTCTAGCAGTAATGTTACGTAGCGTATGTGCACAAGAAACACATTCTTATAGGCAGAATATGACCCTGAATTACTTGTTAAAATTGATGGAGGCGCAGAGCTAGCCTAAAACATTTTTTTATTCACGCCACCTCTGCCTGACAGATACAGCATGATGTGTGTCCACACATGTCTGAGATGAATGGATAAAGGAAACAGTTGCATGTTTTACTCTTGTGCATTTACACATGAATTCATAAAAATCAGTTCTGCAAGAGCTTTCCTGTCCCTTTTCTCCATCAAGTCCCACGTGCCTCCTGACACCAATATCTTCGTGATCCTCTTCCCACTATTCCTCTGGGCACATGTGAGTGATCTTCATGTGTGAAATTAGGTTAGTAGGGAGTGATGAAGGTACCTATCTGTGGATAAATGCATACCATCTAATTGTGGAACAGTGAGCAGGAGAGGGAGGTGCATTCCCACCTGTGGGCCATTGCTCTAGTGCTAATGAGGCATTTTCTACAACGGAAATTGTCATAACTTTTTAGATTTCTAGAAATACATTCAAATCAAAGCAGATTGTTTGTGAAAGCTACTGTAATTCATCATTAGAACACAAGGTACTAGTACTTTTGTGTTTCTAATGCAGTCCCAATCAAAAATCAAAGGGTCTCATTAGCAGCATTTGTAGTAGTTTCAGATGAGCAATGGTTTAAATAAGCAGCAATCAAGAAGGTGGTGTAACGGAATGTGACAAACTCCCGGGAAGGAAAATTAAATTAGCTTTAAAAACAGCTCAAATGAATATGTCCCCCTGGATGCCATTCAGGGCAGAAAAAAAGTAAGCATCCTTAACAAACCTGATCAAAGCCTGGTGGATCTCTGCCAACTTCTGTTTCCTCCCACAATCTGGTTTTGTAAAAGAGGGGCAGAGGTGGAGGAGAGAGAGAAAGAAAGATGTGGGAATACAAAGATAAATGAGAAGACATGGAGAGTAGAGAGAGAACAAGCTGGCGTTATATATATGTGTATCTGTATAACATACATACAGATACACATACTAAAGTATTGTTTCTAGTGTGGCAAAAAATAATTGATGCACAATCAAAATCAATCTAAAATAACTGTAAATGTTTTTATTAAACATTTGAAGTATGACTTTTACAATGCAATTTCCTCGTTTTGAATTTTCTGCTCTACATGATTTGCACAGACAGATAAAAACTGGGGCATTTTCCTACTGAATCCCTATTAAATACTTCTTTTGACTAACCCATTTAGTGTCTTTCATGCAAACAATGCCATTACAAAGAACAAATGAGTCACGGAATTGTTATGTAAGTGGTATGCAGTGAGATTGCATCAAATTCACCATTAGGTTTAAGTGTTAAAATGGCTTGAAGGGTTAAGCCGGTGTTAAGTGATGATTTGTTAGATTTCAGGTACAGGGAATAAAATCCTATCCATCCTCATCTGTCTGGTTACCAGCTGCAACTTTCCAAAATTGTCCACGTTGGCTGACACGCTGCCACGCAAGCGCCACTGGCAGATATGTGGCTAAAGTTTACTTTGACAAAAATGTAAATAAAAAGACAACCGGCGGTTGGATACAAGGAAGGAAAACACCGTGATAGCGCGACAACTCGCGATTCGTGTCTTGTACTATAACGTTAGTTTGAGTCAGTTAGCTTAAGCAGCTGTTAACTAAAACTAACATTACGTTCACTGACATTTCGCCACAGACTGTGCAGGTCAAGTGTCTGTCTGTAAGCTACACGTACAGTAGAAACAAGTAAATATACGTGCTTTTTTAAAGGATGAACTAGCTTTAAGTGACTAACATTAGTCTGTATGTATGTATGTCCAGCGTTTTAACGTTTCACCTAGCTAACTTATCGGCTGATTTAACGTTACCTCTTGTGATAGATCCATTCCCATCCACCCCAACTCCTGCGTTTTGTTTCTTCCTCTTGAGCCTTTTCATCCCCTTTAAAAGCTGACTACCGAATGACCAAGTGTGTGTTGTACCATAGGCAAATTAACATACAAAAAATATGTCTCTAAACAAGTAAAAATATATATATATATTTGGCTCTACGTGACCGTTTCTCTCAACAGCTGTCCCTGAGCGAATCAACCTAACCAGATCACCTCTCAACGCTGCTATTGGGCAGAAAAGACATGTGACACAGTGCACGAATGCCATTGGCTTTTCATGGGCTCGCACCCCAAGCTAACTTGACTGTAGTTTTGATGCTCTAATATTTGAGCTAAAGTTAGCAGTGTTTGTTTTATTTTCTTTAAATTTTTGCCTTGTAAAGGCATTGGCTTGACTGAAATGCGGTTAGTAAAAACAAATATTTATTCTGAATGTTTTCATATTTTCTACTAGATGATAGTAAAGCGCTACATAGCAAGTGTTAGGGAAATTAGAATATTAATATGGACAATATGATATGTCAATGATAATGTGTCATTTTGGTAATATGGGCAAAAGGGTCTGTGGCCATTTAAGTGCATGTATTGTTTGCAGTACTTTTTTCTCTCTCTCTTTCTCTTCTGAATGTAAAAAAATACTAAAATGTATATTTAATACAATGAGAAAAGACAATAACACTGATATTGATATTGACTTGCAGAACGCTACATGTGGAACAATACAAAACTACTAAACCACTTGAAATATCCAGTATCAATGTGTACATGTGATTTCAACATTAATTATTTTATCGATTGTATATTAGAGTGCAGTTGTGGGATCTGTATTATTAATGGATGGTTGTGTAGCATTGTATGTACTTATGTGCAAGTAGAGCCATCTTGTTGACCTACTGTAGGGGAAGTACATGCTCTGAACTGCACTGACGTGCATCTGAAAACTAGTTTTTCTAATTGTCAGGTACAGGGTCATTTCAGGACATCCAGTACAAAAGCTGTAAGGAGTGGCTTGCAGCCCTGAGTACTGCCTCTCAGGTCACACTTGGTTGCATACAAACAAATTGCTCACAGTGGCAAATCCAAACCACGGCTATGGCCTTGGCCCTAACAAACAAATTTCATATCTAAATAAACATACATTCCTCATCAAACTCCAAGGAGACCAAGACTAAAGTTGGGTGTGATTCCAGAGGGAAAATATATTGCAGAGGTATTTCTTCAAAGGATGTAGGCCTAATGGGTGGGTTTAGCATGGACTATGGATGTCTCCACCTTCACAAAGTGCACCTTCTGCTTTACTGTCTATCCATGTATTAATGCTATTAGCAACAACATAATAATTTATTTATGGATTGGTGGAGCTTGTGCTCCACTCCACTAAATCAGATCACTCCACTATACATATTTGTGTTCAGTTGGTTAGTAATACAACAACAACAAAACAAATAAACTATTGGTACATATAAAATAACTAAGGTAGGCTACATGTTCTCTATCACAGCCTGTCAAAGGATTATAGGACTTTGTAGAAAGTTAAATTCAACAACAACAATAACAACAATAATATATATATATACACACACTATATATATATATACACACACTATATATATATATATATATATATATATATATATATATATATATATATATATATATATATATATATATATATATATATATATATATATATATATATATATATATATATATATATTTGTTATGGCAAAGAATTCCGACTAACAATGCCCATTTGTAATGTGGTTGATTAATTGGGATTCAGGAAAACCTGTGTGAGTTTTTGTGGCACAGTTAATCAGGAAGTGGATTGGGACATCGGCTCGATAGGGGGATTCCAGTTGAAACACAGACCTGGCAACCCTGCTGCACCTTGGGCTGTAGTAGTGATGAAACGCCTTATCACTACTAGCTTTTGAGCCGCCCGCAAATACTCATTCAGCTCTTGGTGCTGCGGGTGGAGACAGAGAGAAACGGGTGACAGCGACCAGCAATGTCAGGCAGGTAAAAGCGTGATTGAAGCTGCTGAGATGAGCGACAGAGCCGTGATGAGAGGGCCCGTAACCCGCGGAAGGAGGACGACCATCACCGGCGGCGGGGCTGCCAACGCGAAACAAGCCAACGGGAGCAAGTGTCACGATGCCGGGGAGAAACCCCTAGCGATAAATTCTGCTAAAGCCAAAACAGAGGTGTCCAAGCATGCAAGTAACATCGGGAAGGTGGACAGACAGACGGGGATGCCAGGGCAGCAGCAGCAGCTCACAAACTGTCAGAAGAAACAGAGCAGTGCGGTGGAAGATATCCACGAGAGACTCAGGTAACTTAACGTTAACGTGCCAACATCACGTACGCAAACTAACTAATCAGAACAAGCTACATTTCAAATATACATTTGCTGCTTTCATGTATTGTATGTGTGATTTAACTTTAGGCCATTTGTGTGAAATATTCGTTTCCATTGGCTTGTCTTTAGCTAATTGCCCTATTTCCTTGGGGGGGTTATCCTGTGAACGTTTGTCAGTCCTTAAATCAAGTGGGACTCAAAAGGGGCCACTCCAATGTCCTGTAGCACTCCACAGGTTAAACAACAGAAAACCAAGATACCACAATCTATGACTGCATATTTCTGTAGAATAAAACTTTACCTTGAAGTCTGGACATTTACCTCCAACGTCTTATGGTGGCATGGACAGCTTCCATGTCCAAATCCTTCCTTGAATGAAAGCCTACATGTTAGTGGTGTGCTACTGGTATTTATTAAGTCCATTTAGGAGTGAAGCCCGCACATGATCAATTGGTAAGTCTAATGTTAATGTCCCTTGATGGTGTCTAACTTGTTTTGTATAGACATGCCAACACTAGATTTGGAAATACTAAGAAAAAGTTTTGTTTGTTTTTTTATTAAAAAAAATGCTATGATCATAAATAATAAAAATGATTATTAAAGTCTTGCCAACTAGGTGAGGTAAGGCCCCAGTGTAACTTTAACAGGAAGTGTGAAACAACAATGGCATGTGCTTTTGCAATACTATGCTTGCTGACTACCTCTCTGTCTGCACGTTCTTCTCCTGGTCTGGTTTTGTGTGTCCTGGCACTCATTGAGGAAACCCCTTGTTCTTCTCTTTAAATGCTCTTTCCCTTCCTTACTTCACTCAAGCCACCCCTGTCTCTTCCACCTCTTCATTTTATCTCCTCTTAATTCTTTCGCCTCCTTCTTTGTTTTTTCCTTCCTGCTCCTTGTTCTCCTCTCCGTTGACTTTCAGCTCTCTTTTGTCTTTAGGTCACATACGGTCGTGTAGAATACCTTTTTAACTTACATTTTCATTCATTTAAAAGCCAGTAGCACTCAGACATGATTTCTATCTCAACTTGGGGTTTATCAACTTCAAGAGAGTCTAGGAAAGTAAATGTCAAAGCCTATCATTAATAAATAGAAATGCTTAAATATTTCACAAATGGATTTGTGCTTCATAGTGTGTCCTCAGCACTGTCATGTCAAATTAGTAAAATGTGTAATTTAATTTTTACCATGATGCTCAATACACCCCGACTCTAAATCACCCTAACCATGAGTCACCGATTTGTCTGAATCATGCAGCCTCCTTCAAACCAAATACAAACATACCGTCATCAAAATGCGAAGTCAGTCCTGTTGGTCTCTTCATAATAACACTTCTAGTCACGTTTAACTTCAAGGGATACAGTTGAATGTTTTCTTTGAGAGGGCAAGGGATTTACATATATGATGTGCCCTGTGATTTCATCCCATAGCTTGTAGAGATAAACAGGCAGGAAAGAATGTGAAGAGCTTGGATTTGCACCCCCCCTAAAATCATCAGTAAAACAGTTTGAAACTGTGTTTCCCTGCAGCTGCCACACCCTCCAGGAGTCTCTCTTGAGCTCAGCCAGTGGCTACAGCAACTACAGAGGAATCCTCAACTGGTGTGTCGTCATGCTGGTGAGTAGAACTACGTGTCCATTGAGAGCTGAAAATGTACCACACTGGGATTTCCAAAACTTGCAAACGTAGTTTTGTCTCGTTGAGTCTCCCTTGGAAACGCACACAAACACACATACAGTACATAAAACTGCTAACTACTGTAGCCCATTTTAACTGCTGCATGAGTGCTTTTGGTCGTTGCTTTAAACACAAAAGCAGAAATGCCAGCCCCACACGTGTACAGTACCCTCTTGGGTTTTGGAGTTGGAACTGAAAGTTGTCTATCTGAATTGTCTGTGAGAAGTCTGATAAGTTGCTTTATCTGTATTATCCTGCTTCACACAAGTAGGTTCACCACATGTGCATGCACAGTTACTCCCTCATGGTCCTGTTGCCAGTGAAGTGTTTCTCAAATTCTAAAATAAGACTAAGCTGAAAGATTCATCTTCTAGCAGGGACCGTTTTAGTTTAGCCCGCGTATGCATGACAGTTTACGCTTAACAAACCCTAAGCTTGTTAGTATGATCTAAGGACCATTAAAAGCAGCATCAGAAGCTGCTTGTAAAAACTTATGAGAGAAGCAGTCTGTATGATAAGAGAATAAACTAGCAGGCGCTCCTGTTAAAACTGGCTTTGCTACAGTGCATGCACTGTACTGTACACATGTGCAGCTGCAATTGTACACCATGTTGAAGATCAGTGCAATATAGGCCAGTTTCAGGATGTACTATGGTTGCCACGATGAGTGAGTTTTGCTCTGTGGCATTTATTTCAGACTCTGTTTTACCATTAGCTTTTCAAACCAGGTACCAATACCAACATACTGTAAGTGTTACGGTTAAATATAGGGTAAATATTTTAAAAAGTTATGTATCAGTTGTGTTAGATGCAGAATCGCAGTCTCTGAGACGTGTCGTAGTCTCTGAGACGTGTCACAGTTAAATATGATCCCTTGGTTGGTCACTTCAAATCAAGTGAAATTTCCTGCGTTTGTTTGCGTGCGCACGCCCGTCCATCTGTCCTGCAGTGCCCCTGAACATGCAGTCACTGTTAGGATTTTGATTGGCATGGAGGATACATATATCGACTTAGCCATAATCCTAATGAAATTTAAATGGACACAGGCTATAAATACTGCGCTGTATTAGTGTGTGTTTCTGTCCATGTGCACACATGCATGCACAAGGATTATTATTTTTCCCTGTGTTTGTGTACAGTATATGTGAGTGTAGGTTTGTGTGTGTGTTTGTAGTGTAGGTTTGTGGGTTTTTCCAAACGGAGTCTAATTTTGCAGTTTTCTGACGGGATTAATCCCATCTTTGAACGTTTTATATTGCCCTGTTGACCACATCCTCTACTTTGTGGTCACCAGGGACAGTTGATGCTGCTTGGTTCAGGCTGTTTTTAGGAAGCCTTCAGGATTAGGCTGTAAGAGTGTGAAGTGGAACCACACAGGTGGGGGTGTACATTTAGAGGCTTAGTTGTGTAATTTGTCCTCGATTACTGGGGCCGTCAGCTAAATTCCTAAAATGTCAGCTACAGCAGCACATTTCTAGAGATGAGAGATAAGATGTGGCATTTTTACACTCTGAATGTTGAAGACAAGTGTTTACAAATATTACCAATTCAATTGAAGCCTTAAAATGTTGGTGGTTGGAGTAAAAAAAATCCACTAAGCACCTTCAGAACAGCTAGGCTCCTACTTTTAAATAATTTAAATAATTAATGCATGTAAACTAAGTGTACATGTTTGACTGCTCTTGTTGAACGAGCCTTTCTTGAGTTGTTTGGAGAATGAATAAAACGTTAGCTGCGTGCTTCACTCATTTTCATCTGGCAACTGGGAAATCTATGAATTTGGGTGTTCATGAAAGCACTCTTTAATGTGGTCTTCTAAAATAAGCTCATGGTTTTTACCGTTGTGTACTCCCCATGAGATACGTACATATTCCACTGCAGATCCACCAGCTTTGCATGCAGCACCCGACAAATACTGTCTGAAGTTCTCCTTGGTCTGCAGTCATGTCCACCTGTCCATTTCAAGGCTTAAAGCTCTCACTAACCACACACATACATTGTTAAGCATATTCAGATTGGTGCCACTACATCTGTGCTAGTGAACCAACAAAAAGATTAGTGTTTCAAGATGCTGTGCTGTGCCAATGATCAGAAGATATTTGGCACAGATAAAGTGTTGACCCAGCGTGTGGTACAAACAACTGATGCTTCAGCTGGTTCATATCATTAAATGACCACAAGGACAGTGCATAGCAAAGCAAAACTTTCCGATGCCAGCTGCAATTTTGTTTTCACACTCTTTCACTTAGCATACACTAAGATAGATAACTGTCAGAAAATAAATGGCTACTTTGTTTTGTTGAGTCTTTCCACAAGGTTTTTTGGATTATGCTGACTGGTTATGTAGATGCAGAACACACGTGGTGCAAGTCAGCTGTAGTCTGTGCTGTGTGTTGAAGGAGAACCTTTTAACAGAAGACCATGCAAAATGGTTGATCATTCAATCTTTGCTGGCACCAGTTCTCTCAGCTATGTATGGCAGGGTCCTAATGTTCAGCCAACCCTGGTAGCTCTTTCTATTTTTAAACTTGTCATCCACCAAATCTGACACGTCCCTCAAATTCAGAGCTAAGGACATGGAGTTACAGTTTAATTAAGTTCATTACTAAAACTTTATTATACAGAGTCCCAGGCAGGCAAAATACACAGATATTCTTATTACAGATGATTCAAAGGTATATTAATGATTGTGATCATTATATTACTTGGATATTATTTGATTTAATAATATCAATGTGTATATATATGTGTGTGTGTGTGTGTGTGTGAGTTTTATTGCTGAGGGAATTGTATTGTAAACAGTGTTAGTTAAATGTTTCTAACTCAGAGTATAAATGTTCTAATTTACAGATCAGAAGACAAATTAAGTTTGATCAAATTGGTCATACAGTATGGATTTTCTGATGGTTTGATTACACATTTTGACATTTAGTTTTGACCCGAACTCATTGAAGCACCCAGGTCACACTTTAAACTGAAATAACAAAGCTGTATATGTTTCTATTTCTTGGGACAAAATAAACAATAAGACGAGTAACAGGTTACATAAAAAACTTTATAACTGCAATTAATAGTGTACAGTGGACAGAAATGGCAGCCTGTGCTCAGTTAATATTTATCCCCTGCTGAAGTGTCTTTGAGCAAGACACTGAATTCCTGCTCTGTATATAACTGTGCACACTGACCTCTGTGTGGACAGGGACAAGAGAGGAGACACATTTGGACAGTTGGAAGTTTGCTAATTCAGATTTTGCAATGCTCCTAGACGGGCTACTGTCCCAATAATCGGGTTTCAGGGGGATTGCCCTCCCTTGTCCATGCTGAAGGTTACTAAGGCAAAGGTGACTGCTTTGGACAAAAGGCATAGTTGAATCAAAACCACATTGCTGCAGGATCTTGGCAGGCCAGTGGGCTGACATGCAACATGCCACATAATAAATAAAAAAAATAAAAATGATGTAAACATGCAATACATAGTGTTTGCTCTCTGTGGTGAGTGGGCAGTTAGTTTTATCTCAGAAAAGCTCAGGTAACTAATTGCTGAGATAAAGCTGGGCTTGGAACTTGAACTTTAATACACAATATAATAATAAACATATTTTACTTGACACTTTTTAACAGAGTGGGCATCAGCAGGGTGTGACAGTAACTTGTTGCTGAAGTTAGGTATGAAGCAGATCAAACCGATCATGTGGCTTTCACCGTGAACCTTTGCATTGATTGTGTTGCGCTCTGTGCATAAAAACGGTTTTCACACAGGATAGGGGTGTGTCTTGTGGGCAGTGGCTGTTTAACCCTCTAAAGTCAAAGCTGTCTTTAAAATGGATACAGCCTGTTCCTGTTCTTCAACATGTACAAACAGGCACATGGAAATATGCAGGCTAATCATGAGCAGAGCTGTGAGCAAACAAAACGATAACCCAGATTAACAGAAAAGGGCTAAAAAGATGTTTGGCTGATAAACAGAGATTTAGATTCAATGAATGGACAGACACAAAACAACCATAAACCTGAGCGCCATTGTCACACTTTTCTGCATAACTCTTGTTGATACTCTGATACTGTGCTCATTGTCTCCTATTGGCCGTTTTGTCCTCTTTCAGGTGCTGAGTAATGCACGCCTCTTCTTGGAGAACATTATCAAGTGAGTGTGCGCCTACACAAACAAACACATTTAAGGGGTGTGTGTGTGGCAGCTACAACTCGCTCCCATTCTGTTATACATTAATTTTCTTCCACTTCACCACCACTCACATGTCATCAAAAAAATGTAAGTGCATCTCTCCAAACAGCTACCAGCACGTTCAATGCTACAGTACAAGCCCTTTGTCTGTTTGTTTATCTAGATTTGAGATATAAGGCAGTGTTATCATGTGTCCAGGTGTACTCTGAAAAAATATAAATTCACATTAAATCAGATAGGAAACAGTATGGTTGTAGTTAGCTGACAATTCATGGGGTTTCACCAGAATGTGCCTTCTTTTTTTATTTCTTTTTTCTTTTTTTTCTTTTTCATTTTAATTTGTATATCATTGCTTTGGATCCCAATGTAGTTATTAGAGCTTAGTCATCTATTATGATAATTGATTAATCGGTTTCAGTACTTATTTTTCTCTACCCCTCTATGACCTTTAAACTTTGGGTTGTGGACAAAAAAAACCTTTTAAGGTGTCATCATGGGTTTTGGGAAACATTGACATTTTTCACCATTTTCTGACATTTTATAGACAAAACAACTAATTGATTAATTGAGAAAATACACAACAGATTAATTGACGATAAAATGAATCATTAGTTGCATCCCTAGTAGTTTTGAGCAGAGTGAAGTCCTGCCAAACACACCAAACTTTAACCTGACCGCTTTAATCTTAAACCTTAAACATCCCATTACGATTTTCAGCCTTCTATATAAACCTTTTTTTAATTATTCTACTCTCCCTTCTTTTATCTAGGTATGGTATCTTGGTGGATCCTATCCAAGTAGTGTCTCTCTTCTTGAAGGACCCCTATAGTTGGCCAGCAGCTTGCCTCATCATTGGTAAGGACTCTTTTTATTTTACTACCTTATCAATGCTGTAAAACAAGTCGGTACTAAGGTTAATGAACTGCTGTCTTCAGCAGGGATAAACACTCACCTACAGGGTAACCGTACATCAATCAATCTGAATAAAATGCTACTTTTTAGAAAAATCCTAAAAATATTACAGTGCCTGAAACTTGCCTGTGGACCACCCCGCACAACAAAATCAGTGTTCACCACCCTTTTACCAGTTTCTTCATCTCTCTGTGCTAAATGGTTTTTCCATCGAGCAATAAAATAAAATCCACCTACTGTGGTTCACATCTGTGTGTCTCTGTGGCTGATGAGTCTGTTCTGTGTTCCAGTGTCTAATGTGTTCATCTTAGCAGCCTTGTACACAGAGAGACGTCTGGCTGTGGTGAGTACGTTTTTCTAGTTGCTACAAATGTTCTTTGCGATGTAAATTTCAACAATTGACACTGCAGATTTTGCCAGATTTCTCAGTACAATTTGCTAATGTACTCTAATATTGTTTAGATCCCAAATGACCTAAGGTTGACAACTTTTTAGTTTATTTTTGTCATAATTATTGCTCCACGGTTAAATGAACTGTAAAGAACACGTAGGTTTGTTTTTAATTTATCATTGGGGATCTCCCATCAAGGATGTTTGCCTGGAAAGTTAGCTTTTACACATCCTGAAGTCTACACAGTTAATCATCCCCTCTTTATACCTGCCCTTAACTCTGATAAGGACACCACTCCTGGTTCAGATTAGATTACATATTATCTAAAAACACTTCTGACAAATAATGTAATATTGTATTTGTAAAAAGCACAATATATCCAGTGTTGCACAGTGAAAAGTGTATATCTGGTTAAAGGAACAAATGATGAAACAGATGTTTTACAGTGACACAACCCCATGTTAGTTTATGTCAGTGTTTCTCAACCCTCTCCTGGAGGCACACTAGTCCTGCATGTCTCTCCCTGCTCCCACACAGCTGATTAAATTGATCATCTTGTTTTGAACTGCTAAAGCTGTTAAATCAGCTGTGTGGGAGCAGGGAGAGATCTAAAACATGCAGGACTAGTGTGCCTCCAGGAGAGGGTTGGGGAAACACTGGTTTATGTAATATGTCTAGTCTGTATTTTTTGTATTGTGTCAATTTTGCTGCTGCAACACCGAAATTTCCCCTCGGGGATCAATAAAGTTTCCAACTATCTATCTTCCTTCCTTCCTTCCTTCCCAGGGTACCATTTCCGAAATGACAGGACGGATTCTTCACATTTTTAACCTGATGTTCATATTGATCTTCCCTTCAGCAACTGTACTCACATTGACCTCCATGACCCCAGGTACACACTAAATATTTACATGTTTACACACTATATAAGTACTTTGACTAAGAATTAATGCATGTGCGTATTTTGACGCTAGCACACCATCTGTTACGTCACTTAGACATTACATCAAAATCATCATTGATGTCGAATTATAATTTCATAATTGTTTTTACTTTAGTTCCCATCTATACACACAAACTCCATAGCGCGTTTATTGCTCTTAGTCAGCGGCCCTATTTGTGTGTGTGTGTCTCTGTCAGTGGGTGGTGTGCTCTCCCTAGGAGTCTACACAGTGCTGTTTCTCAAGCTGTACTCCTACCAAGACGCCAACAGGTGGTGTAGAGAAATCAGACAAGCGAAAGCCAAGAGACTAACACGATCATACTCATGTAAGTATATAAACTCGCTAGTGATGCGCAGATCCCGATTGTAGAGACCTGTTCCCACATGGACACTCCACCTCTATCAGTCCCTGTAGTCTATATTCTCTTTCAATTTATGTCAAGCTGCTCAAGCCTTCTAGGAGATTTATTTGTGTTTTGTATTGATGTGAGTGTTTTCTTTAACAACTTACTTGTAATCATTAGAGAGGCTGCTGTCAGTCATTTTAAACGTTTCAATGTGTGCAGTGATGTCCCAGCAAATATTGTAGGACATTTAAACAGCTAAAACTGTAGTTATAAAGTTGATGGGACAGAGAAACTCTACAGCGGAAACAAAAATAAACCTTTTGGCTTCTGAAATACATTTTTAGACCGCTCAGATGGGCCGCTGAGGAAATTAGGCTGTCAGTGTCTTCTTTTAAGTCCCTTCTAAAAACGCACTCGGAAAGCATGTCCTGATTTTGTCTGAGCCGCCTGCTCATTTTATTGTTTTTATTCTCATTTTATTTCTTCTTTTTATCCTGTTTATTTTAATGTTTTATTTAATTGTTACTACTTATTTTATTTTGCCCCTCATTTATTTTATAATTTACTGTTATTATTACTCCAGACAGTGATAGTGAGTAGATAAACGCATGCATTACAAGGGCAGAGGTATGAGGTGCTCTTGAGTCGGGCACTTAACCCCACAGTTGTTTCAGTAAAGCTGCTTAGTGGCCAAAAGACAAACTTTACACCAAACATTGGTAAATAAAGGTTTAAAAAAATTGATTCAGACACACAAATGTCAGTGCACAGTTAATTTATTACTGTGCTGCTACTACCATCTAGTGGTGATGAGACAAACTGAAGCTTTTGGCTCATTCACAGAGATCAAAGCTGTGTCTTGAACAGGTGTCCGCTCTGTTTTTGAAGCTATTTTAATCTATTTTAACCTAAATGCCACTTGATGACTATCTTGTCATTGTAGGAGCTGACCTAAACAGACACCACACAGAGACTTGGTTATGAAATGACTTTGCGAGACTAAAAGTACCAACTAATCACAATCTCCATTTTTTTATGTGTTTTTTAGGTCCGTCTATGGCACAATCCAACGGTTCAGCAGTTCATGCTCGCGTCTCCTACCCAGGCAACCTCACCCACAGAGGTAACCATGATGCCTGCATGGATATCGGAAGCACAGTTTTTAAATGAAACATTTTAATGATAAATAATCAAATGTATTGTTTCTTTCTTTGTCTTCAGACATGTACTACTTTGTCTGTGCCCCGACTCTCTGCTACCAGCTCAACTTCCCGCGGTCACCTCGAATACGCAAACGGTTCCTGATCAGAAGACTTCTTGAAATGGTGAGATGGAACAAACACACTTTTTCTGTTCTTAATGTAAACTGAGATGTTAACATTTTTTGATTTTGACTCTTTCTTGTAGCTTTTCTTCACGCAGCTGTTGGTTGGACTGATACAGCAGGTATGCTGAACATCAAAATAACTTAAATCACACAAAATGTACTCTGAACACACACAAGGCTCAACAGGAAGTCATTTTTCATCGAAATATTTGCCTTTTAAAATCTGTTTTCATGTGTCTCTTCCAGTGGATGGTTCCCACTATTCAGAACTCGATGAAACCATTCCAGGTGTGTGTGTGTACTCACTCACTCACTCACTCACTCACTCACTCACTCACTCACTCACTCACTCCCTTTTGGCACTGTCTGATGCCCTCCCTACCTTAACCATCCCAACTACATGCCAGCATTTTGGTCCCCACAAAGCTGTCAAACTCCACAAGAATCGTGGAATCCTGTTTATTGGACCCCACAACTATATAATTTGTTTTGTCCATAAGTTGATAATGAGAAAAGATAATTGTTTGTGTCTTTGACAGGATATGGACTTTTCGAGAATGGTGGAGCGCCTCCTAAAGTTAGCTGTGAGTATCTTGACCTACCGTAGAAACGGTTATGTTTAAAAATGTTTCTTAACCTAATCTCACATATTGAACTCTGAGAGTCTCCAGTGGTGTGACTGTCTTACACGTATTAGAGAAGAGGTAGCAACAACATGGCAACCATAGTGTAACCTTACCAACCCAGACACCTTTCCTTTGACCCCTCTCCTTTCCTCTCCTCTTCCATCCCCCCACCTCTCTTCTCCTCCATCGTCTCCTTGCCTCTTTTCTCCTCTCTTCCTTTTCCACTCTCCTTCATCATCTCCTGTCCTCTCCTCTATCCACTGTCCTCCATCCACTTTCCTTTCCTCTCCCCTCCCCTCCCAGGTCCCTAACCATCTGATATGGTTAATATTCTTCTATTGGTTTTTCCACTCTTCTATGAACTTTGTGGCAGAGCTGATGCAGTTTGGAGACAGAGAGTTCTACAAAGACTGGTGGTGAGTCGAAGGATCATTTAATCATACACAATGACATGTGCAGTTGTGCACACACACACAGTATGCACACATGTAAAGACATGCCTAAACATTTGGCTCAAAACTAATACAAATACACATGTAACTGGTAAATCTGTTGAATTTGTCCCATTTAATCTCCAGGGGAATTTGGTAATTTTTTTTAGCATATTTTGCCATTTTTGCTCATTTCAGGAACTCTGAGACCGTCACATATTTCTGGGCCAACTGGAATATCCCAGTTCACAAATGGTGCCTAAGGTGAGCACCAAACTTTATAAAATGCATTTTTTTCAACATTGAAAACCTTTTGAATGTTTTTGGTTTCATTTTATCATTGCTGTCTGTAAGAAAATAAAATCTGAAGTAAAGAAATAAGTAAAATAAGAAGAAATCAATGTGTGGACCTTCCCATGTATTTCAGTGTATTTTCAGCCAGATTTTACGAGATAAAGATAATTTGTAAAGTGTTTGTGTATGTGCTTAATCATGCGTCTTTGTGTGTTACAGACACTTCTATAAGCCCATGCTGAGGAAGGGGGTCAACAAGTTTATGGCTCAGACTGCCGTCTTCCTGCTGTCTGCCTTCTTCCACGAGGTAAGCAACAGCATTCAGTCGTCTTGTGTCGCACGAAGTACTACTAAAGTCTACCTACCTGCTAATTCAGCTGCCAAGACTGTTGTGGACTTGTTTTATTGTTTTACTGTTTTATTAACACGACGGCAACAATTCAGAAACTAATCTGAAATTCCTGGGAGTATTTTCCGCTGTGAAATGTAATGCAAATGAAAGATGTTTTATGTGAAACACTGTGTAAAGAGCTGTGAGGTGCTGGCCTGCAGGTAGACTGCTAAGTAAGTCTAGATATGTCGAAACTATGATTCCTGAAACTAAAAATAATTACACTGCATCCAAGTAGGTGGGCAACAAAACAATAACACTGTTCAATAAATATTTGATTTAATTAATTTGAATGATGAGCGAATTAGCACTTAATTATTCTATTAAGATATTATTTTGAGGTAAAGGACTGAAAGAATATTTTACTTAATTTCACTCATCCATATTTGTTGAAAGAATATGTATTCATAATTGTTTTGAACGTTCAACCTCAGATTTGGTCATAGATCAATTGTTTAACTGGTGTTTGTCATGTTCTGACCATAAAGAATAGTTAAAAAAAACGAGAGTTAACCATCTGGTTTCTTCAACTTTCACCCAGGAGCAAAAATCAGCCTTTAAACTTGAAAGAAATAATGATTTGATATTTATTGTGATAATTATCAGTATCGAACAATACAGCCCTACATCTGAGTTGTGAGTGTTTTAGCTAGACATTTACAAGTGAAAAATGAATGAAATGAGTCTGAATATAGTGTATTTCTCTCTTTCTTCAGTACCTAGTGAGTGTTCCTCTGAAGATGTTTAGACTGTGGGCCTTTATGGGAATGATGGCTCAGGTAAGACACATTGATTTATTATATTTTGGTTTCATCACGCTCCTCTTGTCTCTACTGTCTCCTTTGTCTCTCCCATACACAGACTTTGTAGAAGAACCCTCTTTGACCTCTAAACATTAATCTCTTCAGGTTCCCCTGGCTTGGTTTGTGGGTCGTTTCCTGAATGGAAACTATGGCAACGCCGCTGTGTGGATCTCACTCATCATTGGCCAGCCTGTCGCTGTGTTGATGTACGTCCATGACTACTATGTCATTCATTATGGGAGCACTACATAAAACTGGACACACATAATCCCACAGACACACACACACCCACACACACCAGCCTGCAGGACAGCTCAGTGAGTGAATCCAGAGCAAGTTGAAGTGACTGTAAGAGAAAACCCTGCTAATATGAGCGAGTCAGTAAACCACAACGACAGCAGGAAAATTGTTTTTGACTTCTTGATTTTTGCACTAAAGAGAAATGAACCATAGTATGATTCTAACAACATGAGGACTGTTTGGTTTGAAGCAATATTCCACTTTAGTAGGACAAACATACCATTGTAGTCAGCAAACACTGGGATCCGCAGTCACCACCTGCTCTAAATCTCTGTATCTAGCATTGGATGTTCCGGCCAAATGATCCTGGACCCAAAGTCAAACAGCACTTAGATCTCTGTTATTGGAATTGATCCCTCACTGTTAGATCTGTTAGAAGTATGATTTCCTCTTCAGAGTTTGCTAAAACAAAAGTAATTGTGCGTGTGTGGTGCTAAGGTTTCCTAAAGTGGCCAATATTGGTGGTTGACGATTCATGAGCTCAAAGGTTATGCGCGCTAGGGTGAAACTCTTCTGCGTGACTTTTGACAACAGTTTTTACATTTAAAAACATGTCATTGCATCCACAAGTGGAAACACTGATTTTTAGCCAAGCACTCCTTGAGCACACATTGTCTTCTGCAACTGAATGTGAACCACTGCCAAGCGAGCACGGGATCCTGAAGAGAGGAGAAGATATGAAAATGTTGTTTCTATATCTGTGGATTAGAAGTCACTGTTTTTCTTGTATCTAAAAGCAACTGAGAAATTATGAAGCCTGCTAAACAGTTCCTACAAGTTAAGGCTTAAGCCAATTTAGGGTGTCTCCAGATCTTCAAACTGACCACAGTAACAGTTTTGTACATGTGCTCTGTATATAAGTCCCTCTCTTTCTGATGCAATGCAGTTGTTGAGTATTACAGAAATGTATAATAAAATGATTTATTAAACAAAAAGGTCAGTGGCTGTAAACTGTAGAAAGACGAGGAGGGAAGGAGCTATAAAGGGAAGGAGGAAAAAGTAAAAGGATGTTTTTGACCTTATTTGTACAGTCCTCCAGGCAGCCTCTCCTCTTCTGTTTCTCTACTACAAACATCAATGCAAGCTCTTGGTGTAACAGTGTGTTGTTTGCCTTGGCTTTGTATCTTGTGTTGCATTTGACTTCATCACATGGGTTTATTTTATACATATGTATAATTTTGTGTTGGTATGACAGTATGCAGTCAAGTATTGCCATCTTCAAATTATAATTTGTTGTATTTTATTTGAAATCAATGATTTAATGCACGAGTTGATTTACTGATTTGAACCAATGATTGTTTTTTTGCACTTTAAAGAGATATATGCTGTTGACTAAAGCAATAGATTTCTATGAATGTATTTAAGTTATATCAATTGTGTAAGGAAAATACATTTGTCAAAAGTATTTGTATGTCTTACAATTTGCTTGTTGACATGTATGTTATGGTATTATTATTGTTTCAAAGTAAAACAGCAGCTGCAGTAGAAATAAGAGTTTCAATGACAGGATTTTTTTTTCTTTAATTTTTTTTTTAAACTGCTTTCCAAATACATAATGACAGTTGACTGGACATGTTAAATCAAAGCCTTATGTGCTTCTTTTTTTTTCCCTTTTGTGAGATTTACCCTCATTCCTTATTAATCACATTTCAGGGAAAACCAGTTATCCAAAAAATAAAGTGTGTTGTCATTCCTTATTAAAATGTATAAGTGCCTGCTGTAAAAATAAAACAAAACTTATATACCAGTAGTTTTACATAGCAAAGACAGGCAAAATACTTCTAAAGACCATTCTTTAATCTTTTTGTCTATGTAGCCAACAGATTCACAATGCATTTATATTTACTCATGCCCTTAATTAAAATTCCTGTCCAAATGCAACCTAACCCTTAAAAGTGTGACACCTTTTTCAAATGTTAATTTTGAAAGAAGTAATTTTTATGTTTGCTTTTGGAGAACCTTATGTAAGAGTCATGCATAAATCTTATGTTATTATCTTATGGTACTTCAGCATACAAATGGTAGCTTAAATATCAATTCGTGTGACAAATCATTGTTTTTCTCATTTGACTGCTGTGAAAAATTAATTTGCGCAATTGAATTGTTTACATTTCATTCGACTTTGTTTTGCTTTTGTGAAATTTCTTGGAAATGGAAAATAATGAAGGGGGTGCTGACCTCGGAGTTTAACATAAGTGTCAGCACCAAGTGTTATTCACCTGAAGTCCACAACTTCCTGTGTCCATGCTATTACTGCACCGATCCTGCTCTTGGAATAGGAGTTGAAGATGCTTTAAGTTGAACTGTCTTTTAAGGGTTAATTTTGTTTGCGGATGATTGTGTGATCCAACATGTAGTAAAATGAATGTATTGCTGAGCTGTTCATACTGTACACAGAAATCCAAAGTGAAACAAAGATTATATGTTTTGGGAATGCAAATAATTTTCATAGCCTTTCACTTGAAATTATGTGTTTGATAAAGAATATTTATATATGATGAATGGACTTGTCTATTTTTGGACCCTCAACAGTGGAGTATCCTGAATTTCTTGGTTGCTTGCCACACACTAAATGGCTGCTGTACAACGTGTGGTTTTCTATACGCAAACTATTGTGAGGAAAAACATATTAATCGATGTGGACCCCTATATCAACCTGTAATGATGCCATTGGCTTTAAACTACAATATACATTGAAAACTGAGGACAGATGAGTCCATAAAAACTTTATTGTGTAGAGAGCATCACAAGACGGCACTGAAAACTCAAAAGTTCCAAAATAACAATATTACAACATTTTTAAGTTTGTCATATGTCTCCACGCAGAAAATCTTACAGCTAAACCTGGCCATCAGGTCAGGGGGAACAGTGCAGGTTGAGAATCTCTACTGCTGCAAGAAGCAAACAGACAAGTATCAGACAACAAGTGAAAATCCAACTAAACCACTTATTTGAATGGCAGTCATAATCACAAAGCTAAAATATTCACATAATTATGTGGTTGTATGTAGTGTGTGTGTGTGTTTCACCTTGGCTTTCTGGTTCTGGACAGGCAGGTAGAGTTTAAACTCTGCCGGAAGCTCATCCTCAGAGTACAGTCTGTCAGAGAAATACACTCTCCTTATTCGACAGTTGGCATGGATCTGGGAGGAAAACAGCAGGTCAGACATTAGCAAAAGAAATGGGTTCATTCATTCACTGTAGATTTTTGAACTAATGCAGACAGCATCTAAAGACAGCTGGTTTCTGTCCCTGTGCACGAACCTGTACACGCAGCGTCTCAATGTAATTGGTTCCGTAGGCCCTCCTGGTGAAGTCTGACAGGTTGAACTGAATCTGGTTCCAGCCATCGTCGAGCCTCATAGGCATGGTGCAGATAAACGGCTTCACTCGTGTCGTGCTTTGATAGTTACTCGCCCGAAACCGCCGACGGACGTTTTTATCATCTAACACCTAAGAGTTGTAAAGATGGGGAGAGATCATGAGTGACCACGGATCCTGACACAGCGTGGAACAAATGTAGCCTGCTGTATGTTGTGTGCGTATGTACGCATGAGTACACATTTGTTTATATATGCCGCCAAGACATGGAAAGGGTATGTATCTGTAGGAGTGCCTACCCTACCTGGACTTCAAAGGTGAAATACTTCTTGAGGTTCTTGATGATCATAACGAGAAAAGGAAGCTTGATGCCCAATGTCTTCTTGGGGTCAGCAGGACATGTTATATACGTGGTACTGCAGGGAGAAGAAATAAAAAAGACAAGGAGGGCAGATTAGAGTGACTAGTGCTTGAATGAGCTGAAGAATAAATTAAACAGACTTAAACTCACCTGACGTTTGTTCCCTCAACCTCCAACACCAGTGAGTGGATGTCATTGTCTGTGATTCTCTTGATGTGACCATTCCTCACCTGTGAGAACACAGAAATATTATTTATCTTTAGGTTTAACGTTATATGAAGAAATCAAGCATTATCTCACTAGAACTGCAGTGCTGTCACTATCAGTCAACTTTGCATGTACTGGTTTATTGCAGATATATCTTTATTGATGTGTATGCCGGCAGACAAATACCAAGAAATTGCAGAACACAAATGATATATCTGAGGTAATTTAGAAACAGTGTCACCATTACATAGTTTGCTACCCTGAGAGAGTTTATTATATATCAATTCAGATGCTGATGTGGGAGCAGTCAGTCAGGATGATGAAGTCAGTAAATATTGTCATGAACTTTTACTTCTACAAAGTGTTGTGAGTTGGCTGAACTCAAAAGGTCTTAAACAATTGATCTCCTCCACTGTTACTATTATTACCTGTTGCTTAGGAATATTTTAGGCCCTCTTAACATCCTGAAACAGCGAGAACTTTTTGTTTTGGTTTAAATTAACAGCATCAATCAGTAATACAGATTTAAATGTTTTTTCAGCGCTACACGTCACCTGAATTACCTCCAGATCAATATTGGTGCTTTGTAAGTTTTAAAATATCAACAATGGTAATGTCGACTGGACAGACACAGTTTACATTCACCCAAGACGCAAATTCAAAAAATGCACTGTGGAATATTCGGGGTGTATACGTGTATGTAGATAAATAACTGTAACATTAGATATTGTTGTATTTTATTTTATTTCATATGTTATGAATGCATCTTTTAATATATGCATTCACTTAATTATATGTTGTGTGTGTAGCACGAAGGAACTACAAATTTCGTTTCGCTATGCAACCTTGTAACGTTACCTTGTTATTGAAAGCACTACTGAGAGCTGCTTAACGTTAATAACTAGGTTAAATCTTTACCTTTACTTTGTTCTTGCTGGATCAGATTGACTCCATTCACCAAAATAAGAACGCAAGCGTCGATGTGAATAGCTAACACAAATGTAGTCCGCTGCTTGAACACTGCATCCAAAACACACCGTCAGAGATTACAGTTTTAATATTATTGAGCGTTAAACCCACCTAACGCAAATTAGCTTTAGCACGACTAGCTACGGAAGCTAGGTTAGATTCATCATAGCGCTCATTCTGAATCGCTGCTTACCTTTTTATCCCATATCTGAAGTGGTTTGCTGCCGATGCTGTATAAAATAGACAAGAATCCGCTTTGAAATGTGTTTTTAAACATCTTCTTTGAGCTGAACTAACGTTCACACACAGTCGTTGTGTACATGTGTTTAAATCCACTAAAGAACTGTTGCTAACCAGCGTTACGTTTGTTTACAGATTTTGTTTCCGTCCCCAACGCTATTAGTTCCGTGTGGTACAAAATAACCCGTTCCGGTGCCAGAAATGAAAAGGTTTGAATTGTCGTTTATTGTAATATCCCCATATGTCTCTCGTGGGGAGGCGTAAAAACAAAGAAGACACGGCGGGGGGGGGGCTTTTTATTATTTTGGTGTTGCTAGGGGACAGTACGTCTTGACGTTGTTCACATCGGCTCTGACTTGTTGACGCATCTCGGTCGCCTTGGCAACAAAAAGGCGGCAGCCATGAATATTTACATTATGGCCTCTTACTAAAGATAGTGTTGTTAATTATAACTCACATCTTTAATATGAGGCTATAATGTAAATATTCAAGTAGGTCTTGATGGTATGACTATTAATAAGCCCTGTTCACAAATGATTTATTTACTAGACACTTTTGTTTTTACCCCCATTAATCATGAGCTGAACTCAAAGATTTAAGACTTTCTCTATGTACACAAAAGGCCTATTTCTCTCAAATATTGTTCACAAATCTGTCAAAATCTGTGTTAGTGAGCACTTCACCTTTGCCGAGATAATCCATCCATCTCACAGGTGTGGCATATCAAGATGCTGATCAGACAGCATGGGTATTGCACAGGTGTGCCTTAGGCTGGTCACAATAAAAGGCCACTCGAAAATATGCAGTTTCACTGTAGTGGGGATAGTCCACGGGGGTCCAGAAACCAGTCAGTATCTGGTGTGACCACCATTTGCCTCACGCAGTGCAACACATTTCCTTCGCATAGAGTTGATCAGGTTGTGGATTGTGGTCTGTGGAATGCTTCTATAAAGTTGTGGAGACACATATCGAAACAAAATTGTCAAAATATCCTGACTTTTAATCCTTAGTATGGACCCTACACTTCATCACTCTGGCTGGTAAACGCCCACATTGAAACTTTATATTCAGTTTGTAACACAGGCTTTTTGTTAAAAGTCCAAGCCTAGATAATCAAGATGTTAAATAAGTACTTTTCTCAGACTCTAAAGGTCCTCTAAACCAACGGAGTATAATACATTTGATTGTATGTGTTGTGTATTTGGAAGTTAAATTGTTGTGGCACCCCTTAATTCTCAAATAAATAATGGCAAGTCTCTATGAATAGACTTCCTACAGATATATTTATTTCAGAACTCCTTTCACCCACTATATCCCACCAAAGTGTCAAGCTTGACATCCTTCATCTCTGTCTACAGTACTTTAAACAAGCCGGACCAGGATAGATCTGACACCGGTTTCAAATATCAGAACAAGCCAAGAAACATTCAATCAAATATTACCCACGTTGCAAAATGACATCACCAGCAGTACAGCATAAATCAGTCCCCTAATATGAACTGAAGATCTGTCGACCTCCACTCCATCATCTCTCTGCACATGCTCGTGTGTGTAGATTTGATGAACCTGGTTCACAGGCTGGCAGCTTTGTAAAAATATCTACAGAAAAAGTTTATACTTCTTTGTCTGTTTGTCTCTTTTACACCCCCATCCACCATCATTGATTTACGTATTTACAGTTCCTTCAGGCCCTTTCAGTGGGGGACCACCCAGAGACAGCTTTAAATAAACTTTATTAAAAACCTACTTGAATGAAATAGCCCGTTCTGGTCTCTCCTTCCTCTTGTCTCACAAAGAGTGTACCTACTGTATCTGTCTTAGCATCAGCCAGCTCTTACTTTTTCCACATTTCTATTAGCTATCCAAGCATTACAGCCCTTTTTGCCTGTTTTCCTGCCAGTTTCTTGTCTGCTTTTTTGGACACTAGCTCTGTCGCTATGCCCATTTGTTGCCTGTTTTGACTGCTTACCTGCTGCCAACCTCATGATCAAAATTTTTTTTGGATCTTTTAACTTATCTGCTTTGTCTGTGAATCATGCTTTTGAGTCTAAATTTTGTTTTACTGAGCCAGCACACACTGTTCTTCTGTTTGGCTTCCTCTTCCTTCCATCCATCCTTTACAAATAATTATTTCAAATATTCAAAAAATAAATAACACAAAGAGAGTGGGATAAATCAGGGGTACAGAGGGAGGGAAGGCAAAATGGAGCGATCAAGAAGGGAAGAAGGATGGAGAGAAAATGAAGGTTGACAAAATAAAGGGACTAGTGCCAGAGATGTGGAGGAAGATGATAGAAAAGAAACTAGAGAAGAGGAAGACTCTTGTCTATTGTATTCTGATTTGTGTTTCCATGGGACAGGGGGGTTACATAAGAGATGAGGAGGAGGTCCAGCTGCCTGATTGTACACTCTGCTCTGCTGGAGGACTTGTCCCGCCCAGAGAGGTTCACATCCCAACTCTCTACTCACTCATGTCTGTGTACTAACCAACGACAGAAAAAATAGAGGACACAGGAGGAAAGAAGAAGTAGAAGTGAGAGACTTAAAGGATATAAACATTAGACCTTTAAGAAGTTGTAGGTGGATCTACTGGACGAGGGCTTTGTCTTCTCAGGGTATGTGTTTTATCTGTTTATTGATCATTGTTTGGCCTTTGTTTTGTCTCGTTTTTTTAAAACTACAAAATATCATTAAAATGTTGCATTTTAGCAAATTTTTCAGAAGAGAACCTAAGGCTCCATCTGTAATTATATTTAAAAGAACCACCTTTATTTCAGCTAACAATACTTTGCCCGCTGCTCCAGGAAAATGTGTTCATATCCTCCTCGGCTTTTTCCACCCATTGGTTACATGCAGCTTATTGATTTTTGATGGGACATTATGTAAAACAGGAGCGTTCATTAACTAAAATAAAGTGAATTGTACTGTTTTTTGTTAAACCGTTTTTTAGATGATCCAATTGTAGCACTAATTTAAATCCAGGACCCGAGCAGTCATCAGGATGCACACGCACATCCATTTCTTCTTTGCAGGTGCAGGGTAACAATAATCTGCACTTATCTTTTATTGTACATGGACAAGACAATGTATAAGAAAAGCAGAATCCGAACTAGATAGCAGATTGTGGGTCTTTTAATCCAGGCCGCTCAGCCATGTTTTATTCAACTGTCTGTGTGATGATGAAGAGTGGAAAGACCTTCCTTGGCGGGACCTGTTAACAGATAGGAGCTCATCCGTCTCTGGTATTTTTAAGGACAAGGGAAAAAATTGGCCAAAACCAATGGATCTGTCAAATAACACTTTTAAGGATAAGCCACATAGCAGTGATTTATGAAAAATCCATTTGGCCTTGTGTTTGGTGAAGAATGAACTTATAGTCCAGTTTTAAAATGGAAGGGGAAAAAAGTTCACTCAGATGTCAAGATGGTGAAATTTTAGTCCAATCCTTCAGATCTATTCCCCCATTTAAACTCATTCGCATCTGATGAAACATCTTACAGCAAGTTTTTGAAATTGATACCTCAAAAAACAAGTACTTATTTCACAGTGGTCGTCAAATTGGTTTTATTGTCATTGCCATGAAGGGATAATTGCTAATTATGATTATTGTTACTTAAATATCCCAAAGATGCCAACACACCTTGAGTGAGACGGAAACATGTTTTGGGTGAACTAGAAACAATTACACTTGCAGTTCTCTGTGCTTTGCGTTTGGTGAGATCTCCATTTCTGTCTTACATATATTTACATAAGACGCACTCTGAGCTGAACGCAGCTGGAAGTCTTGGCTCTTATACTTCATCACACTACTGTATAAGCATCATCATTCTAAGGTCAAGAATGAACTTTGATGCTTGAAGCAGCTGAAAAATTAGTTTCAAATAGGCTATGTATTTTTCTATAACATTAAATAGTCACAGCTGAATAAGCAGTGCATTTATAAGCCCAAGAGAGGAGTACAGACGAAGAGACTCAAAATACAGAAATCTCTCATGTGAAATAACCAAAACTGGTCCAACTTTGGCAGACAATTGTGTGTTTATGTGGTACCCTGTCACTTGTAGTAAGAAGCTAATTAAGAAAAGAGTTCAGGGCCTTTAAATTGTATGCATACATGGATAAGATGTCCTAAACGTGAAATTATAACAGTGTATATGTGCCGTATTTTAAAATCTGTTAATTAGTTAATATGTTATTTTCTAATCCGGTAGCAACCAGTTGTTATCTAGTTTGGTAAACAGGCTTAAAATGAGACAGTTCTACGTTCATGAGGTGTATGTATCAAACATGAAAGTTCACTCTTAACCTTGGAAATAGTAGTAAACAATCCATACTCAAGGTCCTCTCTCTAGCTTTTACCGGAGCCTGGCTCTCAACCGTATCTCATGGTCTAAAAAACATCATCAAACTACTATTTCCAAGGTCAAGAATGCTTGATTTTAATACATCAACACAATATACAATCAACAGCTCCTGAGCTCACATGATAATAGGTCCATTACATGGTGAAGACAATGTTATACGTTTGAAAGCCCAGAATAAGCTCTTGAGTTGTGATTGTTACTGCATCTTGAAAGTTGTCTTTATTAGTAGTTTCTCACTCCAGATGCAAGTCTTCTTTTCTACCAGTTTATCTCTTCTCACATCCTCTAAGCCAAACCAGAGTTCCTTTGGACTTTTTGCTCAATCTTTTAGCTTATTGTATAGTTACATTCATCATAAACGTCCGCACAGTCAAGATTTTAAAGCCTCTCCCTCCTTTAAACAGGATGTGTCACATTCATCAAATTTATGTGACAAACGTCAACATAACATGTATCAGCGGTGTGTTAAATAGCGGTGCATGCTGACATGGTTCGTATTAATACTGTGCACTGTGTTTAAAGTAACACACGAGGTCACATACTTAACTTTGTTGAAAGTGTCACGTTCTTTTAGAGAACAGATGATGATGCCTTCAGTCACTACTACAGTGCGAGGAGACGTTGTTTATAAGACGAGGATTTGCAAAGTCTCTCACTCTGGATTAACGGCTGCTGATGTTGACCACTTTTCATCCCCAGGGGTCATTACTCTGTCTTTTAGTTTTTAGCATGTGTGTGTCTGCTCTCCAAGCTGGAATATGTTGAATTGTTTTAAGCCAATTGGAGCAGCACATTGCATCACTTAAGAGTTGAGCTATTTAAGTCTATTTATAATACAGTATCTGCAGCCGACTCCAGGGTATTGAGGCATCGGTCTCCTACAAACATTATGGGAGTTCTTAAATTCCTACTGGAAGATGATTAAAAGCAGATAGCAACAGCACACATTTGGAAACAATCCTAACACACTTTTAGCCTTTGAACTTCAAACAAATGAGTTTAGTTTAGTTTATCTTTTCACCATAACAAAGTCAAAAATGAAGCAGAAGTCATTTCATTGCTATAATGACTTGTATAACTGCCAATCGAGAAAAGCTAATAATGAAATTAAAGGAATTCAACTCAGCAAGCGCAACACAATATTGCCCTGTATGCAGATTATATGTTTAATGTATTACTGTTCTTACAGCACCCACCTTTCCTTATTTCTCAGTGGAAAGAATAACAGCTTCATCTCAGAATAAAACTGAGTTCTTTGCATTTATGCTCCTCTATACTCAACCCTTTTTTCCCTTGGCTTCATCAGCAGTTTGAAATTACATCAGCACTGAATGTATGTTATCATGAAGACAAATCTGTTAACATGTGAGCTCAGTAGCCCCAAAGCACTTTTAGGATTTCTTATCCATGTTGGCTTAAGAGTTAAGCTTGAATTTTTATTCTTGACCTTGGAAATAGTATTTTGACCATGTTTTTAGTCAAAAAAGAGAAGCTAGTAAGTGCACCTTGAGTTTGGATTGCTTCATTGAACTCCTATTTACAGGGTTAAGAATGACTTTTCATGCTCAGCACATAGAAATGTCTCATTTTTGCCTGTTTACCTAAACCAGATTGCAAAACTCAGGTATACCTAAAACTCAGTTACTTACTACCAGTTTAGAAAATAACTTACTCCTACTGCCACTAATATTATCACTATCACTAAATTTGACAGAGATTTATAACATGGTACACACATACTGTATATAGGCCACATCATGCATCCTTGTGTTTCCAATACCAATATCTTCTTTTTTCTTGACTCTTTTCCACTTCTTCTGCCCCTCAGACGCCAACCTGTCATTCATCCATCCCTTTCAACCAATGGAGAGCCTTCACACCAACATCAGCTCCACCTCCACCACTGAGCCCCTCCTGCCCCTCTTGACCCCTGACTCGAGCAACTGCAGCACCTGGGACCAGCGGTGGGGGCCACCGTACCTGCATCGGTTAGCCCACCTGGACGTCAGGCTGTACCAGGACTTCTACGCTGTGTGGGTCTCTCTCATGGTAAGAAAAGATACTGCTGGTCCACGTCTCCACCTAACTAAAGCTAGATTTAATGATTATCATGACTGTTAAAGATAACATATATTATAAAACATGTTATTTATAAGATGTGTTGCAGTAAACTAGATTTTTTGTCAAATTACGTAAGCCAACTCAGTCCTAACAATGTAGTATTGTTGTTTTTATAAATACTTTATTTTCTATATTTCTTTATCCTGTTCTGGGTTGTGAGGAGTCACTATCCAAATGTGTATTGGAGGAAAAGCTGAACAAATAAACAGAAGAACCAGATTCAAGATTTAAAAAACAGGCAATCTGTAATAGGCCTACATTTTCTAAAACAAAAAAGTGTAAAATGACTTAGTATTGGTTTGAAGTTCAGCCATCCTGTCAGATCTGAGACTTGCTCTGCGCACAGACTGGAAAATGTGTGTGGTAAAGTGAAAGACCCCCAAACGCTGATGCTCCCTTCCTCCCTGCTGCAGGTGTGCAACTGTCTGATGCTGGTGGTCGGCGTGATCCTCAACAGTCTGGCCCTCTATGTCTTCTGCGGGGCCCACTCCTCAGCCTCTGTGGTTTACACCATAAACCTCGCTGTAGCTGACCTGCTGGTGGCGCTGTCATTGCCCGCGCGCATTGCTCTGTACCACAGTGGAGGGAACTGTATGGCCTGCTCTTACGTTCACACCTTCAGTTACTTTGTCAACATGTACTGTAGTATCCTGTTCCTGACAAGGTGGGCAGATCAATCCTTCATTCAACGCTTGGACTCTATCTGTTTGACCTCCATCACTACGTACAGCTAAAACGTTTTGTACCTCTTCTTCTCTCTGTGACTGCTCCATCTCTCAGTATCTGTATAGATCGGTACCTCGCTGTTGTCCATGCATCCAGCACTCTCCACCGGTGCAGGACCACAGGAACAGCCAAATGTGTCAGCGCCACAGTTTGGTTCATTGCAGTTGTGGTCACCTACTCGTTCCAGGTGAAGACACACGCACCACAAACACAACACCATCCATCCATCCATCCATCGTCAACCGCTTATCCTGCGTACAGGGTCGTGGGGGGGCTGGAGCCAATCCCAGCTGACATTGGGCGCAAGGCGGGGTACACCCTGGACAGGTCGCCAGTCCATCGCAGGCAAACACAACACAAACAGATAAATACATAGACTTTGTTGAACAGAAAGAAAGTAAAACCAGAATACAGAAATAAATAGAGACTGATGAATCTAAGGTGTAATAAGATTTCTGATGTTTAAGTCTCTTACGCTCCTTTATTCTTACTCTCCCATCTCCTTTTGTCATGCAAACTACTTTTGTGCAGACAAAACACACTACAGTCATGCTGTCTGTAGTTGCAGTCCCTTATTAAATGCTTAATAATAGGCTTACTTCGTATGAACTGTGGTTTTGTGGTGGGTGTACCTCTTAAAGTGGAAATCACTCAAATCCAGTGATCCCTTATCAATCACAGAGTCCAAAAATACATATACTGGAAATGCACACTGAGGGCTTTTTCCAAGCAAAGGCCTGTTCAGGGGAATTTGGTCTGTTTGGCAAACCCTAAACGTCTAACTATGGCTTTAACAGTATAAACATAAAGACTTATTTTTAACGTAAAACATTCAGTAGAACTTGTTGGGAGGCGGTGCAGCCTGAGAGGCCCACTAAATGTCACCATGTGTTTAGAACAGCAAATGTGAAGCTTTGAATGGGCTGGGGCAGTGGTTCCCAACCTGTGAGCCTTCAAATTAAACAACAATCTGTCTTGTTGAACTGCTCATAACACATATCCAGAATAAGGCCATAACCTGTGATAAGGGTTTAACATTGTCCAGGGTCTCAAGCCAGAATGGTTGGGAACCTCTGGGCTAGGGACTGAATCCTTGTTGTGTTAGATTAGACAGCATTGCACAGGAGAAAACCAGACTTGTGAAAATGGTGAGTCTTATGTCATTAGGAGAACGAGCACCTTAAGACTTGATGTGTTGGGATCTTTCTCCTGCTCTCTACAGACCACAGCGTTGGAGTTCAGCTCCTCCTGTATGCTCCTCCCTGCCCTCTTCTACTTAACCATCCTTGAGTTTCTCCTCCCGCTGCTCGCCGTGGTGGGCTTCACCCTGCGTGTCGCCTGTTTTCTCTCCTCCAGCCAGGGCCCGATGCCCCAGCAGAGCAGGGCGAGGAGGGCGCGGGCTGTCAGACTGCTGGCCACCGTGCTGGTGGTCTTCACTATCTGCTTCACGCCTTTCCACATCCGACAGGTGCTGGTTTACTTCCGGGTCAAAGTCGGAGGGGAGAGGCTCGGGGAAGGGGCGGGGCATGTACTTGCTTATCACATCACAGTTACTCTGAGCAGCCTGAACAGCTGCCTGGATCCAGTGGTTTACTGCTTTGTGACGGACAGTTTCAAGAGAGTGTGGAGGAGGAAGAGGGGGGCGAGGGAGGGCGATGGGGAGGCAGGGCACACGAGTTGGGGAGAAGGTGAGAGGAATTCAGTGAATAAATGTCCGGGTATGGCACTGGCGGTAGCTCACAGCGTGGCCACACTCACCCTCACCAGCACTCCCCTGTCTGTGGCCAACACAGAACAGTCCACTTAAAGATGGGTGACCCCCATCGACAACTGTGAATGGGACAGTCCAGAGAGACACCTGGAGAGAAAGACTCATCAAGAGTACTGCAGAGAGAGATTTGTAGGCTGGAAACAAAAATGAACACAGAAACTCGTCAAAAAGTGAAAATAAATTTCTCTTTATGGTGAACAAAACAAACCACTTCTAAGGATAAACAACACTTCAACGACTGCCTCCCTTTGTCCCTCCATGTTCTCATCTTTTCGTCCCCCTGACCTTGCTTGGGTGTCAACTGGTGAGAAGGAATAACGGACCACAAAAAGATACTGATGAGCTTGTAATGTTGGAGATCCATGTGTCGGCTGAGACTGGACTCCAGAATACCGAAAGACCTTGAATTACACTGAGTGAAGAGGATAAATATGAAACGAAGTGTATAGAGAGATTTGGGGTCTTTGCGCTGACCTCGTCAAAATCGAATGCAATCCAGTACAAACTGCTCAGCCATAACTTTTTCCTTTTACAAAGATAATAATGTTAAATGTAATGTTAAACTAAATATTTGTTACAGCCCAATATTAAACTATATGGTATTATTAAGGCTGTAGTTTACAGTGGTGTTGAATTTGTGTGCATTATATACAGTATTAAGTGTTCCTAATGTTTTGATGTGGTGGGAAGAACATAAAAATATAATAATATAATATACACCAATGCAAACTAAAATCTTAATAATTAGTAGATTAATTAAAACCTATCAGAATGTTTAAACAAAAACTCACCATTATAAGCTTTGTAAAGGCAGAATATGTGTTAAATCTGTGGTACTGGGTTGCATTAGACTGTGTAGATGAGCCTAATAAAGTGGCAGTGTAAATTGCAGTGATGTAGGCCTACTTTTTTCTCTTTTTCAAGTAAAACCTTTCTTTGTTTGTTTAATTTTTTATATATTTTAATAATTTTACATAGACAAGTTCACTGTAATTCAAGTTGCACTTTTTTCTCTCTCCTTACGCTTCCTGTCTATATCTTCACTGTAACCTGTCCAATAAAGGTGAACATCCAAAAATGCACAAGAGGGTATTTAGTTTCATCAAAGCACTGTGGCCAACATTTGACATTTTAAATGGAAACACTCCATTCCGTCTTATTATTTCTCTCACTGTGTTTGACCAGTATTGCCGTGTAAAGCCATCGTCGAGGTTAAAAACCTCTAGAATAAAATGACGTCAACTCCATTAAAATGCAGAATGACTGAAAGAGTTATAGGGCAAAACAATGTGGCAGAGTCTTGAGTCAACACACTGAATAAGCTAGAAGCAAAGCTCTCTTTGAAGTATAAACACTTGTAACAGTTAGTCTTAGTGCACACCTCTTCGACGCCTTTGTTTATTATTTTACAAGTGTCTAAATGGAGGGGTGTCGTCAGCATCACATAGAAAATGTACATTTCTGAAACAGCAGTTTTAAAGAAAACTATGAAAAACAACACGACTAATAGAGTTTCAACAAATGCTCTATGACATTTTATCATCTGGGAGAGATTATCGGGAACAGGAACAACATTTGTGTGTTAAAATTAAAGGGAATTGTGCTCTTTTATTATCTTTCGCTTTATGCACATCTGGGAAGTCAAAGAACTGAAAAAAAAACAACAACACCATGACTACACAAACACCCTCACCACCATAGTTTGTTCTTGGCTTAGCATTTCTCTGACAATTTTCTCAGATTTTAACCTATTTGATGATTCGTTTAATGTAAGGTTTTGTTTTTACAATCTGTGTAAATAAATATAATCTTATTCTTTGCAGTAGTACAAGTAGAGGTGTTTCTGTAGGTGTTGGTCTGCTGTTGTCTCTTTTCTTTTTAGCAATTACTTTTAATTATGGGATGCACAGAGAGACACTCCTGTTGCATTCAGTGTCACTTTTACAATTATGGTTAAACTATGTATATGTGTAGCAGAAAGCAAGCTTGAATCCGGTCATTTGATTTGTTCCACTAGAGGACAGTGTCTCACCATGGCAGCAGATTTCAGCTATCTGGAACACTTTACTGTACTGGTGTAGGCTTCTGATTCACAATTAGTTCAGTTCACATCCAGCAAAAGTGTGTTGTTATCTGTTAAACTCTAAAGCAGCATGTAAGCAACTTTTAGTCTGGTGACTACTTACTTCAGACAAAGTACCTTAACTTCTACAACAGGATGTGGTTGTTGCTATAAAATCCCAGACTGAAGTCCACTAGCGTGTATTAGACCTTCTTTGATTTAACAGAAAAATCTGTTATAAACGAACATCCTCATTTTGTCTGTGTGAATTAATTAATGTCAGAATAACAGTTCTGCTCTTGTTACACTGTTCCTAGTTAAGTTCTTTATTTGTCTTTTATCTACAACATTTGCAATCGTTGGCAATGAAGGTCTTGTTCTCAGGCTCCTCCAACAATGCTCATATAGAAATATACAAAAGAAAATCACACAAGTAAATGAGAGATGACAAAAAGAGAAATTAAGACAAGACAAAAGTAAAATATGGGGGAAAAGATACAATATCTACATATAAAATATAATAAAATGTGATACTGAGGCAAACTGTGGTTGTGTAGTAGTGCCCGTTACCATCTGAGAGGCTTACCATCTGTTTTTATGTTTATGGCATAGAAAACATATAGGCTAAATGGATATTGTCTACTACTCCATAAAACTACTTATTACTCTACAGGGACTTCAGCAGTGTGGTAATGTGGTTCACACTCAAAATGTTTTAGTTTTTATTGATTACATGTTAGAGAACAGCTGTGCAGTGTCACAGATATTTGAATGAGTCATTAAACTGAGTTCAGCAGGTCATTGCATTTCTAATCTGGCCCTGCAAGTTTTTACATCAGGTCAAGCGGTCACATGAGGAGTATGGATGAGACACACACGCACATACACACACACACACACACACACACACGCACACACCAGTTTCAGGTTCCTTCTCTGGTTTCTGTGTGTGATTTTGCAGGAACAAAGTTTTCTGATCTTCCTCTCCTCTCTCAGTGGTCTGACTGTGCGGTATCATGGGAAACCAGTTAGCTCCCTTGAAGATGCTGAGTTAAGTTATTTTGCTCTGGAAAAAAGTTGAAGTAGTTCTGAAACTGCAGAGCAGCAGGTTACTTTACCAGTGGTCACTTGATGCAACACTGAAACTCTCTTTATGAAATGAAAGAGTTTATACAAAATGATAAGCATGATAAGCAACAGTTCTGAGCACCTCACAGCAGATTGTTTATTTCATTTCATTTTAATGACGACCTTGTGAGAATCGAAACTGGCCAGAGTTTGTAACTTTTCTCCTTGCTCTGGCTAGAGCGAAGGTGTTGTTTTATCTGTTCTGATATTTCATAGGAGTGTAGGTCATTTAAATGAATTATTCCTCAGCGTGAAATTGACATACAATTGACATGTGTTTGTTATGTAAGATGTTAATTTTTGAAGACATTGCTTGTTATAAGCTACTGTTTCATTGGGGAAAATGACCAGTCTTGAATATTCACTGACGGTAAGTTCTTCAGGCTCAACAAAGTTTTTATCTGTCTGAACATCTGCATCCTAAATTGACATAAATCTGAGTGCTGGAGCGCTTACAATTAAATCATCTACCTTCTGCAGACAGATATTCGGAAGATATTCTACAGCTTTCTGAAACATTATCGTTCATCTATCTAAAAAAGGTAGGTACACATTTCTCCAATAGTCTGAGGTCAACTTTAAATTAAATTTTTTTGGGACAAAATTATGTATTTAAATGTAATTTTCTTGCATTGCAATTATTCTGAAGTTTCAGAGTATAAATGTAGTATATTTATTGCACATTTAAGGAGTCAGTCTTGTGTGTGGTGTGATATGAGGGAAATGCCTGTTATAATCATGTGTTTGATTATGTTTTATTATCTTCATATAACAAGATATGTGGGACGTTTAAGGAGTAGGCACATCTGGCGGATGAAAGATGTGAGAACAGTAAGTCCTAAGACAAGAAGATGCTGTGATCATATTCTGAAGGTCAAATAACACCTTAAGTGAAATCATGTGTTTCCTGCTGCTACAATGAATATGTGTATTATCTCAAGCTACTGTAATAACTGACAAGAGACCACCTTTTTTCATATCTGTGTAATGCTGATGACCAAAGCAATAAAGATCTATTGAGGATCCGAATATTGTCTGATCTGGTATTTGATAGCCAACCCCCCTCTGCACTAAACAAGAACTGATATTTCTGTTTCCATGACTTTTTTTCTACACAATAATGTATGAGGAGCAATTTCAGTTTTTATACCATACTGTGATCACCCTTCCACCAGCAGAAAATGTTTCAATAAATACAAAGAAGTTTAAATTTGGTCTAGAGTTTGTTTTGTGTGTGCACCCTTCTTCGTTTCCTTTCATTCTTCTTATATGTTGAATTTTGAAAGATTTCAAATAATGAAAGGAGTCATTGTTGGTTGACTTCTGAATAGATTTTAAAGGTGCGTTCCATACAGTGTTCATCCGGAGTCCTACATATGAAGGCTCAAGCTTATTTACAGAACATAGAGATATATACAGTCTTTATATAGAAAACAAAACTACTAACAAAAATAATCATCTTTTTTATAGCAGCAAAAAAGAAGAAACTAAAAGAGAAGTATGTATATTTACATCTTTTTTTTTTTCCAAATAACAAGGCATATTATATATGGTACACTGCTTTCCCATTCTTTAAGTATTCTTCTTGATTTAATCTCTATGAAGATCAAAGTATATAGGCATTTTTCTCCTCCATCATTAACACAGTTTACTAGAGGCAGAGACACACACACACACACACACACACACACAGAGTCTGGCCAGGTTGGACTAACTGCATGGCCGCCACGCTGCTGCCACTGACAGCTGCTGGCTGGAAACATGAAACAGCATCACCACATCGACACATTCAATGATCAGGACCGTGGAGCCAACATGGCTGCCACTGAAAAAGTGCAAAGGCCAAACTCTTGTGTGTGGCTCTGCCTAAAACTTCAAACAGATAAAAAAAAAAATAATAGACATTTTGTAGTTGAGTTAAAACACCAGAACAATAAAGACTCGTGAATAACCTCTGGTATTGCAGCCATGGATTCCAGAGTTAAGTGTAAACCAGGTGATTGCAAAGAACAGAGAACAAGAACAAAAAACACTGAGATGACGTTTTTAACACAGCCTTGCTTTTTGCTTTACGTGAGCAGCTGAGACGACTGCTCACACACACACACAAGCACGCGCGCGTGCACGCACACACACTCCAGTTTGCTTCTGTAACATCTCCTGTAACAACAATAGCTTTAATCTATTCTTTTGGAAACTAAGCGAAAAGTGTCTTTTATAGATGTGAAAGCTAAAATGAATATAAATATCCACAGTTATTTCTTTTTCTTCCTTTTGCAACACACTTCTACGGTTTAAATTTTTATATTATGTGCAAGTTCTGTGCAATGTCAGATACCCTCCCAAATCTCCCCCACTGGCTTGTCGAACATCAAAACAAAATTTTTTCAGCTGAAATCACTTCACATTCATTGACTTCTTGAAAAACCATTTAAGTCACAAGATGGAATCAAAGGTAAGAACTCAATTTCCCAGCAGGCCGAGCTGCTGTCTGAACATTCCAGAGTCTGCGGGAAAAATGCTTGGGACATTAAGAACCAAAAAAAACCAACAACAAATAAACAAACAAACAAAAGACTTCCCACTGCATTGGAACAGAAACACTCATGTTGCACTTCAAGTATTCACGGCCTGGAGTTTCTCGCCTACACTTTTAACAATGAGTGTCACTCAGGACGACACACATCGTGTCTTTTATCATTTCAACACCTTCTATCCATGTGTACGTTGTGTTGAAAAGCAATGAGATGTGTGCTGTCTGAAACTTTACTCATAAATGTGCAAAAAATGTTTAAAAAGTCACATGCTTGTTAAGAGGGTACTGACCCAGACTTAGCACAAGGCTTCAGCTTAAAGAGTACTTGTTGTTGTTTTTTTACACATTTAAGATCAAACAAAAAGACATACACATCCAGCCATGCATTAGAAAATACATCCCTGACCTATTAGGACAATAAAGAAAAAAGCTTGTGTGATTTATACAGTTATACTTTGGTGTTCCACACATGCATATTGCTGTTGTCGCATGCAAACCTCCCTACCCCAAAGGTTTTTTTTTTAAGCTTCATGTTTGTCCTTAAACTGAAGTTGTGTGCCCATTTTTTAAAATCCAGACTATTTTACTGCCCTAGTGGTTACAGAAGCCAATGAAAACTCTGGCATCTGTGCCTTCTCATCTTTTGTAACCGTCCAATCCCTGCTTTTTTTTTGTTCCAGCGCCACAGACTGAGCAGGGTCAACCCGGAAAGTAAATACTCTCTCTCAATTCTGCTCTGGGACTGACTGAATGTACCTGAAATGATGGAAAGAATCTATTTTGTTAAAAAGTGAAAAAAAAAAAACAACCACCACGTCATCAGTGAACTCTCCTCCCTAAAACCAAAAATATTTAAAATAAGCTTCTCTGCTAAATGCTTTAATATACACTAAAATAAAACATTCTTTCATTAGTAAATGAACTCACTGCAATTTTACATTTTGATTCCTTTCAATTTGAATGTTTGAGCTGATTGAGCTGAAAGGAAAACTGACCCAAATCCACAGCCTTTTACCCTCACAGACGCAGGGGGAAAAAACAGCCAGAACGGTTTGCACCCCCCCCCCCCACACACACACACACACACGCTAATTAACAGAGGTCATTATTGTAATAAAATAAACGACACAATAAAATCTTAAATCTTTCATTTTGTCTAACTACAAGCTTGTTTTATAAGTCCTGCATGGTCAGCTATTGAAGCGTTCCAAAGATTATTTAACTTCATCACTTCAATCAACACCAGTCAGTATTAGCACGAGTTTTAATTTATACAACTTGCATGTTTCCTCTCAGTGTTTTTAATAAAATACTTCTGCGATAAGTCTCATTGCTGTGCATGAATTTTAACAGGGTCAAAGTAAAGTTAAACTTAACAGTTTTACTTCCTCATCCGCCATCATGCTGCTGCCGCTTGACCTCACGAAAATAGATGTGGCCATTTTGTTAAATTGGCGTTAGGGATGCAAAATGGAGCATCAGGGGCATGTCTTGTGATTTTTTGTAGTTTTTCAGGAGGCAAAGTTAGATTTTGTCTAGTTGACTATCTGAAGTTGTAGTTTTCAAGACTGGCAATTTAATTTAACTCAATTCGATTTTGGGATCAGCAGGGACACTAGAAAATATTGAACTCTGCCTCCATTGTCTTCTTTTGGATTAAGTTAAGACATGCATTTCTAAATTTCTAACAATGAAAACTTTATTCAAGTTTTAACATTTAAAAGGAAAGGTTGGACATATGGGGACTCAGATCAATATCACTCGCAGGTCTGTATGCTAAATATGAAGCTAGAGCCACAGGGTGTTTAGGTTAGCTTAGTGTAAAGACTGGATACAAAATCCACCAACGAGCACCTCTTTCTTTGTGCAGAACAAACGAGATACAATGTGTTCATTAGTGAGCTGTAGAGGCAGGTGGATTTTATCACCGTTGAACAGCCCAGGCCAGCCGTTTCCAATCAATCTTCTCATATAACTCGTAGCAACAAAGCACATTTCTCAAAATGTATAGGCATTTTTTTTTCAATTGAAAACATTTCTCCAGTCCTCCCTTAATCTCGCTCCCCATCCCTCTCTCCTCTTCTAAACATCCATTCAGCATATAACACACAGATGTAACGAGCATCTAAAATACTTTTATCCGCCTCTCTCTACTGATTATATTAGGCCCAGTGCAGTGGAAGCTACCGAAAACAGGAGCACACATCCTCTAACGAGGCTCAAGTAACAAGCCTTAACCTGTCAACAACAGAGTGATTCATTTTTGTCTCTCTTAAATAATATATACTTCCTCAAAACATAATGTTTACTATACATTTTTTCTTCGAATATATCCAGGATCCATTCTAATATTCTTGTGTTGTGTCTGACAATTGCGTTACTGGATCCACCGGAACAGAGTAGTGTCAGGAAGCTCCGTCCTGCTGGTGTCCTAAGACGAATGAATCCGACACCCACAAAGTTTTAAAGAGGGATTTCAAACAACGCTTTTCTAACTGTATGCTATTTAACACTCTTTCAACACTGGCTCAGCTAATGTGCAGTTAGTGACAAACATTGTGCTAACAGAATTTCCTAAAAAACAACAAATAAAAAATAAACACGAAAGTAGAGAGAAAGAGAACAATTCTACATCTCTCCTCTCTTCTCTTCTGCTGTTTGGTTTGTCTCTTCTCTGCTCCTCTAACATGCAGCATGTAGGCTAGTCTGATTATTCAAAACAAAGAAGTAGTATCATTCTGGGCCCTCAAAAAATCATGAAAATAACTTTTGGGATTTTAATGCCCTGCATATTGCTTCTATCCTCTTTCTTTCCTGGAATTTAACTCTGGATATATGATTCTCACTATACGGGCAACTTTATGCTCATGCTCTTAAATATGTTTTCAACTTTGCCCTGGAGTGAAGGCTAAATTAAAGACTTAAGCACTCCTGCCATGTGGAGGAGGGCAGGGGAAAAAAACACTCGCAATCAATTTGGGGATTCAAGATCAATAATTTCCCCCAGGAACCAGGCTTCGAGCTCTCAGTTTCAGAAATGCTACTTCCAAAAAGTCTCTACAGTCTTAAAGCTACTGTCGCAGAGCGTTGTTGAGTCCCGCAAAGTTGAGGGTGTTGTTGGATTTATTTTGGTGAACACGATGCCTCTGCTGGAGACCAGCCAGGTCAGCAGACACACACACAGACACTCGTCCAGCTTCCTTATCACGAAGCAAAGATTCGATCAAGCCGATTTCACAGCGAGGAAGAACAATTTCAGCATTCTTGAATGATTGCAGCTTTGATGACTAATGTTCATCAACAGTGTTCATTATTTAGGTATTCATTTGTCCCCAGATGAAGACGTGTGTGTGTCCGTGTGAGAGTTTGTATGTATGTGTGCAAGTCCCCTGAAGTTTCCTGTCCAGGCAGCTGTTCAGTAGCACCTCCTAGAGGCCCTGAGAGACAGAGGAAATCTCTCGTTAAAACCATGACAAATTAATTTCTTAGAGACGACCGACATGGATCACTCAAATGTCCGTGAGGCCTAAGTGGAAGGAATTTCAGTGAAGACTGAAACAGAACTGGGACCAGAATGCTTTTTTTTGTAAGGTAACTTGGTCTGGTGTAACACTGGTCCCACATCAGACTGAGTTGTTTTCTTCAGCAAATCAAACGGAAAAGGCCTGTCAAAGCAAAAACAGACACCAAGAGTGGACCGAAATAACTCCAGCCGACCTCCTCTGTCTTCCTTATGTCTTTTTGTAAACTCCAGCAGGCCATGAGGTCAGCGGCACATCCATCAGCAATAATTTAAAAAAGGGAATTTAGTTGTTTCCACAGCAAAGTCAACCGTCGACGTAGCCAGCCAATCACAGGGCAGACTCATTCTCCATGTGACAGGAAGTGGTGGTGGTAGTGGCCTTGCCCTTCTTGTTGAGTTTCAAGAAGCTGGGTTTCTCTATTGCTACGGTAACAGCCACTTCATTGCTGTTGGGATTTTCCAGCGTTGTCAAGGCCCGTTTCTCCGAAGCTTTGGCTGAGTCCACGTCCCTGTCAATTATAAATAAAATCACAATTGTTAGGTTCTATTTTGTGCTTAGGTGCTGGTAGTAGGATTTTCTTACCTTCCAGGCCAGGCTAGCCCCCCATTTCCAGTCTTTATGCTAAGCTAGGATAACCAGCTGTAGGCTGTATGTTTGCCAAACAGACATGAAAACCGTTTTCCTTATCTAGTTCTCGGCAAGAAAGGGATACATGCATTTGATGACAGCATACGACTAAGACCAGTGGGTTTTCTCACCGGTTGTGGGGCGGGTAAATGACCAGGAAGCAGGCGGTGAGGAATCCGAGGAGGGAGCCCCCAGAGGCCACCATGGGAATGACACGGACACTGCCAACAGCTTCCACTACAGCACCCAGAGCTGAGGCCACCAATATCTGACTGATGTAAACCTGCAAAATTACAAATGTTTATATAACAACACATTCTTTTTAGTGTGCTGTAGCATACATTTAACACTATGCCACAAAGATTTCAATATGAACACTCACCTGGCAGGATAAGATGGCACAGTCGATGCCAAAACCTCTCCGGGAGTTACCAGGACTGTGCTCGATGTACTGCAGGAGGCAGAGGAAGTTACAGTTACTGAGTGCCAGTGAAAGCACAAATTTTTAATACAGTAAAGCAGAATTTTGCAACAGGAATACTGCATTTCTTTTAAGCGTAGCTAATCCTGATTCACTTTTTAAACTGATCTCTAACTTGAAAAACTGCCAAATTATGTAATGTAAGTATAAAGTTGCAATAATTCATCTTTAGCTTCCTACCAATTTCAAAAAAGAAACAATAAAACGAGTAAGTAAAAGTAATGTTAAAAAAGGATATGGTATTATTTCCATATTTTTTTTTTTACAAATCCCAAGAAAAGATTAAAACAACATTTTGTTAGTCTGTCACATAATATGTAGCACCCTTTGGTTCCTACTGAAGATGTAACCCAAGTCACAAAACAATTAGGTTTAAAAAAGAAAACTAATCTTTCTACATCAGCTGGGCAGCATAGTTTTTTAGATAATGTTTCACAAACAGGAGTAAATAATGCATTTGATATCAAATTTTTCATCTGTAGTCCCTAGGCAGGTTAATGTTACATATCAAAAGAAACAAATGGAAGGAAGTAATATGATATGTCTGTACCTCTTTCATTTCGTGATACTGTCCCAGCAGAGCATAAGGACAGTAGGAAATACTCATGGAGATGATGCCCATGGTGCTGATCATCACCATGGCAACATACACATTAGGGAAGACTGCCATGACAGCAGTTCCTATAGCGGGATAATAAGAAAAAAAAAATCCAGAGTTACATTTGAAATGTTCCATTTATTTTGTTCTTTTACTGTACTCGGGTTCTTACCTATGGAAAATCCAAGCGTTCCCAGGATGTAGATGACCTTAATGCTCAGGTCAAAGTTGTCGAGGTACTTCTGAAGGATAGCTGGAAGAGGTAGATAAGATGATTGGTTAGTCCTGGGTTTAATGGTGACATGTGTTATTCTTCCAAAAAGTTGTTTTCTTGAAGTCACTTTGCAACCGAGTACGGAGGTGTGTACACATTACAATGAGAATGGTTGTTTACAATGTGAACAAATGTGTTACCTGAGCATGTAGCAGCGGTCATGGCATATATGACCAGTCCCCAACACCCCATCTGAACTCCTCTATGATAATCAGCCAACAATGTAGAGTTAGCAGGAGCCTGAGAGAGAGAGGGAAAAAAAGGGTTTAGTTTTTAACTGCACTGTGGATTAACCAAGGCGAGTTTAGTTTAGGGTTGAACAGTCTGACAAAAAAAGGGTGGTCCAGAAGGCTAGACAGGCCGTGAGTGATTCTGACCACGTTCTGAGTCAGGAATTACGTTTAATGCCCTCAGGACGGCACTACCTCGCCCCCCTTAAGTAAAACTAACCAATATGGAAATTATTTTATTCGTTCTGCCATCAGGCTTCAAAATGGTGCTGACGGCGGCAACTAGACATTGGCCAGGCTTTGTAAACCTGGGAATCATTGTATATTTATTTATTTATCTATTTAACTTGAATCATGGTCCCTGCTTGGTCTATGCTCAGAATATCAGATTTTGAAACAAAGCCAAAGAAAGAAAATGAGACTCCTGCAAAAGCTAAGATTTAGCAGTGATGTCTTTCTAACAAATACTCAAACTGGGTTTTGATTAGATTTATTTGTTTGTTTTCATTTTGGAGTTTTTTCTATTACTTTAGATAATATACAGTAATATGTAATGCACCAGAAAACAAGCTTTCAGGTCAAATAATAATTAATCTCATTGTTCTCTTTCTGAATTGTCACATTTGCATTTTGTTTTGGACAAGCCATTATGCCATTAAATTAAATTAACTAAAGTGGAGAGTAGGGCTATATCTATATATCTGTCTGTGTTGTTTTTAGCTGCTGATTCTCGTACAGTGGGATCTCCATGGAAGATGACTTGTCCCATGAAGTCCGTGAAGAAGACAGCCTCAGCAATGATGGAGAACCAGGTGAGCAGGTGGCAGGCGCACAGTCGCAGCAGCTCCGGAGGCATCTTCAGCATGGAGAGCCACAGTAGCCGCACTGTGGTCTCGACCTAAAGAGAGAAGACGAGGTCAGGCGACATCCTACCAAAAAGAGACACTCACACAACACATTGGACAGAAACCTTGAAAATGTATGTTACATGTGCATTTGACCGGTAAATCTTCCATGCACTCCTCACCTCTCCCTCTTCGCTCTCTGTATCTCCGCTGGAAGAGTTCGTGTTTCCGCTGCGGTGTCTGGTTCTCTGTCTGCTCCTCCTCCTGTGCCTGGCCTCCACCTCATACAGGTCGTTCATGCTGCGAGACGGCTTGATGAGTAAAGCGGCATTGGCCCGGCGGTAGCGGTAGCGGTGGCTCCCCACTCGACCGTAGTAGGAGAAAGTGCAGGACGGCTGGCGATAAAAGATGTGACGGTGACGTGACTGCCGCATGGGGGCTCCAGTACTGGCAGCTGGAATAGGAGACAGATAACAGATTAATATTAAGAGACTGTTTATTATTATTCTTTAAAGGTTCAGAAACCATAGAGATAATACGCATACGGTAAGACATCTCAGAACATAAAATATATCTTACTAAATTGATTTATTTCAGTTTCTAAATATTTCCCTCAAATAAACATTTCAAAAGGAAGAGTTTGATATTTTGGAAAATAGGCTCACTTTCTTTCAGAGAGTCAGATGAGAAGATTGATATCACTCTCATATCTGATCTCGTATCAGCGAAGAAATAGTCTAGCATATAATGTCCTCATGAAATATGTGTTGTTGTTTTTACACTTTCACTCTGTTTTTTGTACGCATTAAACAAGATATAATGTATTAATAAGTGAGATGTAGAGGTGCTGGTAGACTTTTATTTTGTTAATGTTTTCCAGTCTTCATGCTAAGCTAAGCAAACCAGCTACTTGCTGCAGCATTACATTACAAATTAATTAGTATAATTAAACATTCAAAATTCCCAAAATGCGGGACTATTCCTTAAATATTATTATAACGCATTGCAGTAATCAGTAAGATTCCATACAAATGTTTTAATACAAAGTCACAAATATTTATAAAATAATTCACTACAATTTCTTCATTTTTATATTTTTTTAAATCTAGAATTGTACAGAGTTAAATAAACCAACCTTTGACCATTCCAACACGATGTGCCTGTCCTTTAGAGCTCAGCCTGTTAGTGTTAACTCCGTCAGCATTAGTAACACCAGCTAACAGCCGCCCGGTCAGTGTCCGCTGCTCATTGAGTTGGTTGTTCAGTAATGCCTCCTGACCGTCGTCATTTTCCATTTCCTGTAAGAAAGCCGAGAGGCGGCAAATCTTGGGGTTGGGAGCTTGTGTTTGGTGGTGGTTGGCTTGGTGGCGGAGCAGGTCCTGACTTCCTGCACTGCTGCTGCGTCTGATGTTGCCGAATCGGGGAGGCGGAGTGCTGCGATTGGGGTTAAGAAAGGAACCAGTTGTAGGAGGCGAGCTGTGATAGGGTGAGAGGCGGTCAGCAAAGATGGACGGCTCTAGGTGGCACAGGAAAAAGGCATCATGGTCCAGGTGGTCGAGAGTGGCGTCTGCCATGGCAAGAACACTGTCACTTTTACCTGAAGACAGACGAGGAGAGAGCTGATTAGATTTAGACGTAATTTTCGGTTTAATTTAATACTGTCCTTAACATGATTTGTTATTACTATAATTTAATTTGTCCCAGTATTGTTTTCATAATTTCACAATTGTTTCCAGTGAAAGCTCAGAGGACAACTACTACTTTGTTTTATGTAGTGATGGGTGGGATTAAAAACCTGCAGACTTGGCACATGGTTGAGAACCACTGAGGAGCTTCAGTGCTCTCCTGAAGTCTTAAAAGAACAGGAACAAGAGATATTCCCACCCCACAAATAATAAAGGGAAAAACATTTTTATTCAGATTCAGAAAAAGAGGCAAGAGTCTGTGAACCTACTTCTCACAAGCTCCACCTCTAGGAAGTCCATGTCCATATCCCCACACTCTGACTGGTCATCTCCATAGGGGTCATACAGGTCGTAGCTGTCCATCGTTTCATTCTCTCCAATCAATTCCAGTTTGGGGGCGAGTCCACTCCTGCCATTGGCTGACGGTTGCAGGTTGGTGCGATCTGGACTCTCCTGGTGAAAGGACAGAGAGAGGATGTCATGGAAAACTGAAGTCATAGGTTGTTTTTTTGTTACTAAAATTGAATTGTACCTGTACCTGGACCAGCCTGTCATGTTGGGGCGAGTACTGCTGCTCCTCGATGCTGAAGAGATGTAAAACCACAGAGACAGAGAAGAGTATGGCCGCGAAGACGAACAGGATCTGCTCCTGGGACTTGAAGATTGCTCCAAGGAAGGTGTGTGTCCAGTCTAAACCTCCGAGAGCGTAGCCGACCGCACCCCCAAGACCTGCGCACGCAGACAAATCGACAAGTTAACAAAAGAGACGTGAAAAGGACTATGTATTGTCTCATTGTCTCTGTTAGTGCCTATTCATGTCAAATTTGTGCCCTTTCAACTAAGTGAAGTCATTACTGGCAGACCACAAAGTATATTTCTGTGCATTCAACCTTTTACTGCAGTATTAAAATCCTGTGAAAGTCATACACGTGTGTGACAGATGTCAGCGGTACCTGCTGATGCGGCGTGGATGTTGAGAGCCATGTCTTGCTCCTCTGTGTCTGCCACGTCTAGCAGGTACGCTCTGATTGGTCCTTCTGTTGCATCTGCACAAAAGTCCAAGACCACCACCCCCAGCACAGTAAGAACAATTCCTATTGGTTGTTTCCCCTTCTCGTCGCCCATGGACAGACCTAACGGAGAAAGACATGAACGGACAAACGGTTTTAATTATGAAATGTGTGTTTGTTAGTATACATCAAACACACATCAAGAGAAGTGGATAAAATAAGGCAGACCCCATGTGATGGATAATTGATATATATATATATACACACGTTTCATCCAATATATAAATGTCAGTTCATCCAAAATCCAAATTAACACATATTTCCCGCTGATCATGTCTAGTGGTATCAAACCATGTAGACAGTTTTTTTTTCTCAGTTTTCTCAGATTTTTATTTGCCACCAGAGGAAGGATAACAGAGAATATGGTATTTTTTATATGGGTGTATCAGGCCTTTATATGGTCTAGGGACCAAATTAAATCATTTCTAATGTATGCACGTCTTGAAGTGTGTTTCACCAATAAATATCAACTTGAAGGGAATACAAGTTACAATACCAGAACATGTCCAAAAAAAAATACATAAAATCATTTTTTAAAAGGAAGTATAATCACTACATCCACACACAAACATCTGGAGTTGTTACGCTGATCACTGATATAATCCCGGTCAGAGTTGCACATGTGATCAATAACTAGTTACCTAGTTACAACAGCTGTATAACACAAACAAAGACTTACACAAACGGGTCACTGCACATTTCCCACAATGCTTTGATGCATGATGTGTGTGACCTTGTGTGTCTCATTATATTTGTGACCCAGTCCTCCCCCCCGAGCTGCTCTGTGTGTTCTTGTCTGAGAATTTTTATGAATGTATGAAAGCAACACAGAGTGACATGAGAAATCTTTATTAACCTGTATATAAGTGTGTCTGTTAGTGCGATTGTGTGTGTGGGTGAGTAAGTGAGAGAGACAGAGAGAGATATCACAGGCAGTGTGACGCAGCATGACTTTACAAACTGAAATCCATTAATGATGGGAAAACAAATGTTCATAGAAGGAACAGCAGAATGTGGTGTGTGTGTGTGTGTGTGTGTATGTGGGATAAAGGAGCGGCGCTACTCACTAGCCAGACAGACTGACAGGAAGTGAATTGTGATTGGTGGAAAGGGGGAAGCAAACAGGAAGCATTTCCCTGTGAACTGCCTGCTCCTGTGTTCCCATGTCAACATGGGCAACACGCGCGCACACACACACACACACACACAATTATACAGGTTACTACAGTTTTCCCACGTCACCCTGTGTTGTTCATACACATTCATATATATACACACAACCAAGGAAACGTACACTTCTCTCGCTTATTCTCTCATTTCTCTCACACAGATACGGGTCACCTGCCTTTTCCCACGTCAACCGTACCACTGGCAAGGTGCTCACACACACACACACACACACACACACACACTCACTCCCTGGTGCCCTAAATCGACCTGAATGCCAACCTCCCTGTAGAAGAATGGAACAGAATAGAATTGAATAGAAGTGAATATAATCTGCTGACAGAAACCGTTCACACAGCTCTCGCTCTCGTTCTTGTTATTTATAACTCCTTTGGCAATTCATTTCACTTTGTTCTATTTAGAGACATTTAAAAAGGCCAAGTCAGGTATTGTTGCACTGTACATTTGCCACCCATTTGGTCCACATCTGAATATGGAACAAATCCAATATGTTTTTATTATGTGGGCAACCGATAACATTACCCTTGCTATTGCAAAAAATGTGAAGAGGACATAGATTGATCAATATATTCTCCCACTGTCAATATAATATTTAATAGATGAACTACAGTATACAACATTATTATACTTTCCATGTTTATTCATTCTGCTCCTCATTATAAGACATAATTATCTTCTAAAACGTAATAATAGAAACAATCAAGATACTACATCAGCATCTCTTTCAGACCACATGGCCTCTGATAATTCAGCACGAGTGCCATACACCAATTATCAATAATAACGGAAACTCTATTAAAGTGACATGTGGTCGACTTTCCTTTGCCTCTGTGAGTTGACACACAAGACACAACTGCACAAAGGAGACGAAATTTTTGCCACCAACACTTTGGAATTAGATTAGTAGGAGCAGAATGAATTCAAACTACATAAAAGTGGTCTTTCATTCTGCAGCCTTTCACATGCATTTTCTTTCTATGCATGTTTAAGGCTGCCAGCAGTGGGCAGACCACAGGCAACGTTGCACCGTGCTTTGTTTGTAATGTACTGAAAAGATTAGCTGATCAATCTCGCTGGTTTCAGTTTTTCAAAAGGTGAAGATTTAACAGCTTTTCTCTGTTTTGCATAATTGTTAACTGAGTAGTTTTGGACCGCTGGTTGGACAAAATTATCATTAGTTGAACGCATTGCATTTTGAAATGACAGTAATTGAATAAAGACCATTATATAACAAATATAAAAGGCTCTTTAAGCCTTTAAAGGGCAACTCCACTTATTTTACACATCAAAGTCTGTCATCAGGTCTTGGGGATTACTACTGCATACAAATGGTCAAAGGTAGAGATCATGTGTGTACAAGAAGGATGTGATGATAAAAGTGAGGTCTAAAAATAGCTGCTGTCCGCAACACCAGTTGGCATAAACATCTGCTCGTCAGCATCTGTAAATTCAGCGATGCACAGATTGCACAAACCCTGCTGTCACCTTTGTGTGTGTATGTGTGTTGCATGTTTATAGGAGGACATGGTTAATGACATCACAACAGGAACTAAGCGGATACAGCTGATTAGCAGAGAGATCAATATCTGTGTGGCATGACTGAGAGCTGATCGTGTATATGTCCTTGGAGTGACATTTGGATGATGTTGACATTTGGATGATGTAACAAGCTGAGGGTCAGACTGAGGGTAACATCTATCTCTGTACAAGGACACAACTCTCAGCGGGTGAAGACTTCTGCAAACGACGCTCCACTGATTCTAGGAAGGAAGCAGTCCTGTTCTTTTATTTCCTCTGTGGCACAAGCACATTCTGGGTAAAACCACATGTTCACATTATCAGAGGCCAGGATAGTCTCAGGTGTTTTAGATAACAGCGTTCAGCAGATGGCACAAAATAAACTTCTGTATTTTTAGGGTAACATGTAAAACAGCAGCATGGGAGGAAACACAGAGTTGACATGGTTCACAGTCTCAATTGCTTTTTGTTTCTGTTCACCATAAAGCTATTTTGTGAAAATAAACTGTTTATTCAATTAATAAACTGCCTGTAACTCCTATAGGGCACAAAATAAGCATGATAGTTTATGTTCTGCAGTATGCCAGAGGTGCCTTGGCAGTTGTTTTCATTTATTGGCAGTGAACCTATAATGGATCCAAAGCTTCAGCATCTTATAAAACAGCAAGTGCTTCTTTATGTCATTTATGTTCAATATATTTCAGCCTCCTATCAATGGGCCAGAGAGCAGAAATAACCTTATGATTAAGAAGATAACACAAACTTTACACTGTAAACAAAATACTGTATATATTTCAGGGTTTTTTTTGGTTTACAAGTCCCCTTGTAGATATATTTAATGATTTGCACAAGTGTGATTTATAAAATCAACTGTGATAAAGTAGTAGCTGACATTTAGCCCTTATCTAAAAAAAAAAGAATTAAAAAAAGGGAAACAGCCGCCTGGTTGTGTACAGAAACAGATAGTAAAAACATCTGACGATTCAGAAGTACAAATACATCAAAGGAGATCTCTCATCCTTCCTGACACACACCTGATGCACATCCTTTAATACTTTAATTTTTATGTTTACTGTGATATACAGAATATAATAAATATTGAATAACACACACTCACCTATCAGCGATCCATTCAGAAACAGCGCCACTCCTATCAGTGTTCCTATACAGAGAGCCAGGATGAACGGCCTCCTCCTGCCCCATCGCAGAGTGCAGCGGTCGCTGGCCGAGCCGATCAGAGGAGTGAACATGAGGCCGAGGACTGGACTGAGGAACCATGTCAGACTGTAGTACTGCTCTGGAAGACCTGCACACACAAACAGACAGACACACACAGAGTTATAGACAGAGATGTAGACAGGTAGACGGAAATGCAGAAGGATAACCTAAAAACTGCGATTTGACCATGACGTTTTTCTGTGCAAAAAACACCTAACTTAAGGACTGACTGACTTTTTTTTAGAAATCAGCCTTTAAGATAAAAATAAGGGTATGCATTTAATTAATGTATCAGCAAAACTGCAATCAAGTGACTTTGTTCTCTGACTTAAAATTTAAAAATAATAAATATAAAAATATATTTTTTAATATATTGTTTTTAATAGTCAATTTTATATGAGAAGAAAACTTAATTTTCAGTGAATTGCTACATACACTCACCTAAAGGATTATTAGGAACACAATAATAATACTGTGTTTGACCCCCTTTTGCCTTCAGAACTGCCTTAATTCTACGTGGCATTGATTCAACAAGGTGCTGAAAGCATTCTTTAGAAATGTTGGCCCATATTGATAGGATAGCATCTTGCAGTTGATGGAGATTTGTGGGATGCACATCCAGGGCACAAAGCTCCCGTTCCACCACATTCCAAAGATGCTCTATTGGGTTGAGATCTGGTGACTGTGGGGGCCATTTTAGTACAGTGAACTCATGTTGTCATGTTCAAGAAACCAATTTGAAATGATTCGAGCTTTGTGACATGGTGCATTATCCTGCTGGAAGTAGCCATCAGAGGATGGGTACATGGTGGCCATAAAGGGATGGACATGGTCAGAAACAATGCTGAGGTAGTCCGTGGCATTTAAACGATGCCCAATTGGCACTAAGGGGCCTAAAGTGTGCCAAGAAAACATCCCCCACACCATTACACCACCAGCCTGCACAGTGGTAACAAGGCATGATGGATCCATGTTCTCATTCTGTTTACGCCAAATTCTGACTCTACCATCTGAATGTCTCAACAGAAATCGAGACTCATCAGACCAGGCAACATTTTTCCAGTCTTCAACTGTCCAATTTTGGTGAGCTCTCTCAAATTGTAGCCTCTTTTTCCTATTTGTAGTGGAGATGAGTGGTACCCGGTGGGGTCTTCTGCTGTTGTAGCCCATCCGCCTCAAGGTTGTGCGTGTTGTGGCTTCACAAATGCTTTGCTGCATACCTCGGTTGTAACGAGTGGTTATTTCAGTCAAAGTTGCTCTTCTATCAGCTTGAATCAGTCGGCCCATTCTCCTCTGATCTCTAGCATCAACAAGGCATTTTCGCCCACAGGACTGCCGCATACAGGATGTTTTTCTCTTTTCACACCATTCTTTGTAAACCCTAGAAATGGTTGCGCGTGAAAATCCCAGTAACTGAGCAGATTGTGAAATACTCAGACCGGTCCGTCTGGCACCAACAACCATGCCACACTCAAAATTGCTTAAATCACCTTTCTTTCCCATTCTGACATTCAGTTTGGAGTTCAGGAGATTGTCTTGACCAGGACCACACCCCTAAATGCATTGAAGCAACTGCCATGTGATTGGTTGATTAGATAATTGCATTAATGAGAAATTGAACAGGTGTTCCTAATAATCCTTTAGGTGAATGTATGTTAACAATGCAGTTGCAGTCACAGGTGAACAGCAACATAAATTGCTTGTGTTGTGTTGTCAGTATTTTTGGTAATAACTAATGAATGTGAGCGTTGTTACAGCACCCGGAATGCTGGCACGGCACCAAGCGGCAATTCAAAAGCTTCTGCCGTTGCTGCAAAAGCCAGTTCATGTAAATATTTTAGGTTGTTTTATTAACAAATCAGTACAGACTCCAGCAGAAAACAAATATCACATTTTCATGCAAATTGGTCCGAAAAGTATGAAATATCAGCCACATTGGCAACAAATTTGAAGCGACACATCAAGTTGAAGCATCTGTCCAATCTTGCGAGTGAATGATGATCCCAAGAAATGATTAATAAATGGGTAAGACCACAAGCCAACAGCCAAAGTTTCTCCTCCAAAGTCCAACTCACAGCATTTTGTAAATAAAAAAAATGGAAGAAATGGCCGTGAACGATTACCTTTTTGGGGAGTTTAGCATTGTGAACTATGAATGTCAACTTGTTCATTTTAATCTGCGTGAACTGAACCTTGAGCTAGATCTTGTGAAGTGTGAAATTGCACAACACTGGCCTTAGTTACCCAAGAGTTGACTGGAGGCTGACTTTCTCAACACCACCTGTTAAAACCCACACAAAGGGTAACTGGGAGAAAGCCACGGCAACCGTACACGACAGGAGGATTTATCTCTGTGTGAACATTCACCCCTGATTATCACACAAAGGACTGCAACATGGTGAATGCAGAGTGTGGAGACTCTGTGATCAAGTTTCTTGTTCTTTTGTGAGTAACAGACAACAGAAACATCACCAACATATTTTGTCATAATATGCTCATTAAGGAATTATACAAATATGTTTGCGCTGCTTGTTTTTACAAGTACAAAAGCTTTAAAGCCTTGTTGTCATTTTCCTGTAATTTCTGACTGCTGGTATTTAAATAGACTCATTAAACTCATGAAAGAACATCCATTTCCTTTATGAAATGGATTGGACTTATCCCTGAACTTAACTTGGACCTGTTTAAGTGATACACTTTATTATTTTGTGCGTTAACTTTCTCCACTGATGGAAACCAAGTGGGAATTACAGACATACGCGTTGCATGAGAGGGTCTCAAATTAGGATGGGTCTGTGGAAATAACTTTGCACCTTTATCTAAACAGACACACAGGATGCAGCAGCATAGTGGAAACACATACGGTACACGGTTCAGTACACATGCTTTCAATAGCTTTGAATAATATCAGACAAAACCTCGCCAACTGATCACACAAACCTATCACCAACTTAAACAGCCCTTAATTAACTCCCCATAAAACCTGATAAAAGTGTCTGTTAGTGCAGGAAACACACCATTTAAACACACACACACACACACACACACACACACATTTACATTTGATGTTAGTTCACATCTCATAATGTACGTGATGATAATAAACAGACATTGCCAGACATTATGAGGTTCATAAGTAGTATATGAAGGCCCATTATGCATCTGTTTAGAAGAAGACCATATTTTTGCAGTAAATTCAGAATAAAGTCTGATGAGAAAGACTCGGATTGAAAAGCATGACTATACACTAGATGAGATTATTAGAAATGAGAAGTGAAAGTGAAAATAAACAACAAAATAGGACACACTTCTGACACCATTTACCATTAAATAATCTTATATTAATGTAATTTAAATCCTCTATTTATAATATTTGATAAAATTCAGAAATCAACTTTTAATTTCAACTTTTAATTCCCAGTTCAACACAGATTTGTTCCCTAAAAAGCTTTTGAATCAGGACATTTTAAACATTTACTGACAGAATGCCCCAACATCAGCAAGTTCACCTAATTTGAATGACAAAGTCAAGTGTTGTCTGCCAATCAGGGTCCAGTATTGTGGTCGTAACTGTACGGACACCACCTGTTCTTTACACAGAAGTAATTCAAGCAAGTGGGTAAGCAAACGCAGCATCATGCTTGTCTTTATCAAAGCTGAGTCAAATCTTCAGCACACAACATGTCACTTTTAAAAGAAATTGTTCATCTTATCTTTGCTTGTGCAAACTTTGTGTGTTTGCTTTACCTCCCAACTGTTTTCACCAACTGAAATCTGACGTACTCTGTGTGCTAACTCAGCACTTTTTTCATTTATGACAGCTGGAAAACCTTGCCTGCATGTTGCTGATAGCAAAAACCTGGGAGACTCACACCTAAACATAATTGATTCTAAAATCACATCATGTGGAGGGAAAGTACTATATTGGTAGCAACTGCTGAACGTTGGAGGATCTCAGTTTTATTTACTTTCCTAACTAGACAATATCAGTAAACTAACTTCCATGATTTCCTCCAATTTGTCACACAGGACAAGATGAATCGTGTATGGCTATAATTCAGGACTTTTTTAATTCACACAGCTCATTAAGCTTTTAATTTCCCAAAGATATTTTCTAGTCTGTTCTTGTAACCACTTTATTTAAATATTCCTCACATGAAAAATAATGTGCTTGACATTTCTATTGTTTACTACTCACGAGAGCCTAATCTCACATTAATAATCTTTATTTATAGAGTACTTTTCAAAAACCAGTTACAATGTGCTTTCACAAGTGTAAAAACAATAAAACACATAAAAACAATTACATGCTAAAAACAACAAAACACAAAGAATACACGTTTAATGTAAAATAATTTAATTGTAAAATATATTTTAAAAAAATAGAATCAAATAAAATCAGGAAAGGCTCTCCTATAAAAGTATGTTTTAAGAAGGGACTTAAAAGAGTTCACTGACTCAGCTGACCTGATTTCCTCGGGCAGGCTGTTCCAGAGCCTCGGGGCCCTGACAGCAAACGCTCTCCCCTTTAGTTTTCAGTCGAGACTCTGGAACAGACAACAGACCTCTGCCTGTGGATCTCAAGGTACGTGCTGGTGCGTATGGGACTAAAAGGTCAGAAATATAACAAGGTGAGAGGCCATGAAGAGCTTTAAAAGTGATCAATAAAATTTTAAAGTCAATTCTACTGGGATCCATTGTAATGAAGCTAAGATAGGAGTAATGTGGTCATATTTCTTAGTTCTGGTTAAAAGTCTGGCAGCTGAGTTCTGGACAGTCTGGAGTCAATCAATAGATATTTGGGTTAAACAAGTGAAAAGGCTGTTGCAGTAATCCAGGCGTGATTGTTTAAACTTAATGTGTAAACATTAGGTTTACATATTAAGTTTACACGAAAATAAAATCACATAATGAAATATTATGAGTTATTCCGGCGTCATCACATGCCTGTGGGTTATCAGTGCCAAAGTAACATCAGAGTACGCACTTGGACGCAGAGCCATGATTTCAATGAGCTCCTCAGTCAGAGGAAGAAGAGGAAGTTGAAGAGGAGAAGGAGGAGGAGGAGGGGCAGACAGCCTTTTAGCT